AAAACATCTCCCGGCATAACTACAGGCACCTAGCTCAGCTTTATGCTGTTCCAGGTCCCTGCAGCCCCCAGCCAGGGGCTGGGAGGGGGCCAGAGGCCCCAAGGGGCTCAGAGCCCCTACCTCGTGGCTCTACAACATGGCCACCTCTCCTACAACCAACAAACTACAACTCTTCTTTTCCGGTCTGGTTGTGATATGTTTACATTTCTGCAGGAGCGTCCATTGGGCAGAATTTCAAAACTTCCAGGGGTTTCCACCCCTTGGGGTCTACCACTTCTCTTAGCCTCTGGGGAGAACAAGGTTCAAACCACTACATTGGTTTTCAAAGTCAAGGACAGGTATTAGACTTAAATAAACATTCTTTCTGTGTTAGACTTATCACAGGTGCAGTTTTCCTTCATGGAGAGCCCTGCCTTTCATAAACTAGTTGCATATTTCCATTCTGCTTGGGGTTTTGGAAATGTTTATATATACTAAGGAATATGGTACCTTCTCAATGAGTGATGAGCAATAATGCATGTATGTTCGATTACAAGGAGCTTCAAGGAAACTGTTGTCTCATTTATGTGGGTTTGCACTTGTAATGCCACAAACCAGTTAGCTTTGAGTTTATTTGCATTTTACTGTGTGAAAGTAACCACATTATTTTAAAGAAATAATACTATTTTTAATATATGCTCATTTTTTTGTCTCATTTGTTCAGTGACAGGCTTATCAGTGGAGTAATATATGCAGCCCGAGTTACTTGCTTTAAACGTGCTTTTCTTCAAAGTGCATGTTTTTTTCACACTTATTTTATTTAGCAAGTGGGAGCTAAATGGGTAAAAATATTTTTTTTTGCCTTTTTTTTTTTCCGTATTTTTGTACTTTCCATTCCTCTACTGGGAATTAAGACAGATCCAGAAATCTGATTCCTATGGGGTGAGTTGGGATACACTACTGCTGTTGCTCCTGTTACTTATCTTGATACAGCCACCTGAGATTGAACCAGATAGTTCCTCAGAGCTCTCTGAAATAGAATGATAAGACATACTTTACTCCCTAAATGCTTCTGTTGTATTTGTTTATTGTGGGTCTCTTTTCTTCTTTGTAAAGTAAAGATATGCTATGCTATCCCTTTCTAATCGGCATTTTTCCCCGAGGTCCCTTTGTTAGAGGAGATTTTGGGTTTCTTGTCTGTTTTTCTTAACTCCCTAAAACGATTGTGAATACACTTTTTTTGGAATTGAGAGGTGTTGTGCTATTGCAAAAGCTGCTTTCAGGTGGAGGTCTGAAGGACACATGTAAGTTCTCCATTCCTGAACAGATACGTAGAATTTTTCAAAAATTTACAAGACATATTTCTGTATGTGTATTTTCACTTTCTGTTGGCAGACATTGAGAATGTGTCTTTTTTTCTGCCTTGTACAGATAGGGACACTGTAGATTGTTTTGGGGGGAATTACCAGCTGTTTTCATTTGTATTCGTACAAAGTGTATTAAATAGCACTCATAAAGTATGATGTCGGTATTTTTTCCAACACTCAAATACAAGAAGGAATTGTGTGGAAGAGAATTGATGTGTATATTTTGCAGAATTTCTTTAGGGTTTTTATAGATATGTGATATAGATATATAGATGTATGTGTGTGTATGTATTTATATGTGTGTTTGTGGTTGACATATACCTAAATAACTGAGCAGTACTTTTTACTTTTTAGCATTTTCATGAAACACTTGGAATCCAACCTGGAGAAGCACATTTATTTCTAAATGGCCTTCCTATTGACTTGGATTTTCATGATCCTTTTAGGTAAGATGGTACATCTTTTTTGAAGATTACAGAATTACTAATAATACTGGAGAAGTTGTGCTCATGGTGATAATCTCATCTGTTGCATTTTGGGGGCCTGGATGTCCTCCAGTAGAGAGAACACTGTTTTACAGTGGTTTTGCTTTGAATATGAACATTGTATAAGTAGCTGAAAACAGCATTTTCTGTTGCGTTCTTCTCTGTTGTCAAGGACAACAAACAGGACTACTTCAAAATTGTTTTTGATGGCCTGCAAAACTGTTAGTAAATCTACTAATTTGTCACAGTCTATAATTATTTATTTTCAGTTTTTAGCTCATAATGTCTTATTTTCTTTTCCATAAAGATTCTTGAACTTTCTTGGGCTTAGTATTTATGCTTGCAATTTTACCTATTTTTTTTGTCAACCAGAGTTTTGAGATGGAGTGACTTGAATCTTTCGTAGTAATTATGTGTTTTTTAATGATAGTGCTAGGTTTCATTTCAACGTATTTTAGAAGAAAGCTTTAGGAATAGAGAAAACTCAAAATGAAGCAGGATAGAAATGAAGGCACTTGTAAAATCTTGCAAACTTTGTTCTACAGTGGAGTACTTCAGGATTTGTTTCCTTCCCAGATTTGAACTTTCAGATTGTAGCAGGTGTTCTAGAGTCCCACTGGGTTTTCTGGGAAACTTTAGAGGTGTGGCTGTGTGTTTCCTCCAGGCTGTTTTCAGGGTTCTGCAGTGATGCAGACTTAGAGCTCATCTGTGTCCCTATCATGTGCTGCCTGCTTCTCTGCCTACTTGCAAAGCTTCCTCTTAGGATACCCCAGCTTGGGTTTCTGCCTCTGCCAGGACAGTAAGAACAGCAAGAAACCTTGTGCTCTGCTGTCCTGCCACGTCTTACTAAAGATGGATAAAATTGCTTCATATACAATAAATGTGAATCAACAAAAGAGTTGTATTATCTCTTGTAGTTCTGTTTTGAAGTAAGTTAAAGATGTACAATTAGGGTGTTATTAACTGATACATTTTTTCAACATTAGTCTGTGGGAGAATATAGAAAGAAAAATATTTCTAAGACTGTTAATATGAGGATTATTTTTAGTATGAAAAATAGTTTTTGTGTCATGACAAGAGTTCTGTGTAGACATGTATTTTATCTTCCTGAAAAAGTATCTTAGAGACTCTTAAAGTGGAAGGAAAAGTGATGCATGGCCTTCATGAACTTGGAATCAAAGAGGAGATCCTGAGTAAATTTATGAGGTTGCATATACATCCTACAGATAACAGTTATGCGCTAGATATTCGTCACTCTTCGATAGTAGTAAGTAATTTTAAAATTATTTATTTAAATATTACATATTTGATAATTCTATGTATTGAATATATAATTCAATATATTTGAGGAGTAATTTTCTCTAGTTTATACCTTGTTAAAATTTTAAGACACAAGATATTTAAAAGAAAAGAAAAATGTATCTGAGAGTAGTTTCACACTTACAGCAATAGAATTTGACTTTACAGCAATTAAGCTAGCCACATAATACTATGTGGTATCATCCTATTATGCAAGACTTCTAAGTGTAGTTTACAGGTATGATAAGTGAATTGTGGACCACATAAATATTTTGTTTCTAACTGACCAATGACTGAGCTTTTTACTCTTTTTCAAAATATATGCAGGTTTCACTATAAAGGTTATATACCAGTGAAAAAGGCACTAAAATAAAATTATTTTTATCTGAAAGAGCCATATTTCACTCTTCTGCTTGCCAAGGCTTACACAGAAAGGACTAGAAGAACCACATATGGATTGGTTATTTTGGTATATCCAAAGTGCTGTTACTGCACGTTAAAGATAAATACTGTATTTGGATTACAAGGTGGTTATGCTGGGTTACCCACATATATGTGATATGTTGTTATGATGTTTGTATTGTGAAAGTAGTTTCCACACTTGAAAAAAATGATTTTATTCACATCCTTATGCACAGTACAAATTGTCCTTTTTCCTTTTCCACCCATTAATAGTTTCATGTGTACTGCGAATAAAAACAGTTTGATTGGAAAAAAAAAGAGATTAATTTTAGAAGCTACTTTCTGTTACTATTTTAAAAAAAAAGGGAAGACATTTTATTCTTTGCAGTCTTTCCATGTGTTTCAAAATATTATTATTTATGCCCACGTATTTTACTCAGTGTTCAGTGTGTGTTTTTTAAGTGACTGCCTTTTTGTTTCAGTGGATTAATAATATAGAACAAGATCACAGCTATAGCACATGGCCTGAAAGCTATCAGGAACTGCTAAGACCCACACTTCCTGGAGTTCTGCAGCAGATTAGACGCAATTTACATAATTTGGTAAGTTTGGAGAACTTAATATTTTTGCATAACGTATCTCTTAATATGTGAACAGACAGTTTATTAAAAAATACACATGCTGGATTTATTGTTAAGATTTGTTTTCTATGTGGATCTGCTAATAATAGTGAAGAGTGCTTTGTCTAGTGAGTCATATGCAGTTATTGTCTGATTTCCAGAAATGGACTTGGGCACAGTTTAGTCAGGAGTTTTTGTGTTCCTTTCCATGTTACACATAGATAATTCACTAATATAGAAGAATTTTTTCATGGTGCACTACTGAGGGAACTGTCCTTGTTTTAGAGATGGCGAACAGAGGTACAAAAAGATTTATGTTTTAAAGGATACCAATTATGAGTGTCTTGTAGCCTAATTTTTCCTCTGCATATAGCATTCTGTATCCCTTAGTGAGTTAAGGAAGCAGCTATTGCTGATTTAAAATATAAAAGGTAATTGTATGAACTATAGAGTCATAAAATGGTTTGGGTTGGAAAGGACCATTAAAGGTTATCTAGCCCAACCCTCCTGCAGTGACCAGTGACATCTTCAACAAGACCAGGTTGCTCAGAACCTCATCCAGTCTGTCCTTTACTAGTTTAAATAGTGGTCCCTCCACAGCTTCTCTGGGCAACCGGTTCCCCTGTGACACCTTTGGTGCCTCACCACCCTCATTTCTGCATATTCAATATAAATCTGCCCTCTTTTAGTTCAAAACTGTTTTCTTGTTCTGTCACTACAGTGTCACTGCTACTGGTATAAAGCCTCTCTCCATTTTTCTTATAAGTTTCCCTCTACTCATAGGAGAGGTTCTCCAGCCCTCTGATTGTTTTTGTGGCCCTCCTTTGGATCTGCTCCAACTGGTCCATGTCTTTCCCATACTGAGGGCCCCAGAGCTGGATACTCCAGGTGGGGTCTCACCAGAGTGGAGCAGAGGGGCAGAATCACCTCCTTTGACCTACTGGTCATGTTTCTTTTGATGCAGCCCAGGATAAAATTCACTTTCTGGGCTGCAAGCACACACTGCCAGCTCATGTCTAGCCTCTCATCCACCAGCACCTCTAAATCTTTCTCTGCAAGGCTGTTGTCAATACCTTCATCCCTCGGCCTGCATTGTAAACTGGGAGTTGCCTCAACCCAGGTGCAGCACTTGGCCTTGCTGAACCTCTGGAGATTGCCATGGACACACTTCTTGAGCTTGTTCAGGTCCCTGTGGATGGCATATCCTTCAGTGGTGTCAATTGCACCACTCAGCTTGGTGTCATCTGCAAATTTGCTGAGGGTGCTCTCAATCCCTTGGTCTGTGTCACTAATGAAGATATTGAGTAACATTGGTCACAATACAGACCAGATATTGAGCTGGATGCAACCATCCCACCAATTTCTTACCCTCTGATTAGGCCATCCATCAGCTCCATCTCTCTCCAATTTAAAGAGCAGGATGTTGTGGGGAACCATGTCAAAGGCCTTACAGAAACCCAGATTGATGAAATCTGTAACACTTTGCTTGTCCATTGATGCAGTTGTTTAAAGTGACACTAAGTTCAGTATATAAAAAGACAGTGAAATTACAAGCAATGTGTAATAAAAAATGTATGTTTCTACGAAGCATACATAGAAACAAAAATAAATATTGGCTTAAAACTTAAATTAAAAGATAGGGCTTTGAGAAAGAATTCTTCCTTTCTGTTCACATATTTTTGTAGTCACTTTCACTTCTAATGAAGCATAAGATGTGTGTAATATGAAGTAGATTGCATTATTTATTCAAAGTTAAATTTGTTAAATATAACAACTGTATTATAGAAGTCTACAACATATCATTTAACTATAATCTGAGGGGGAGAGCAATCAAAATTTTGCAAGTTATTCTGCTGCATTTCATCCGCTTTAGCAAATATGATAAATTCTAAGGGGAATTTGCAGTGCAAAGCTGAATAAATAAGGTACAGATGTCATAATTAAATCTACATAAGGATAATCTATCTATGCAGATACATCCCACTTTTAGATTCAATGCATGCCTGAAAGATCTAATTTTATATTCTAAGCTACACTAAGAGAGACTACAAAAATATATGAGACAGAAAGGAAGAATTCTTTCCCAGAACTCTATCTTTTAACTAAAGTTTTAAGCCAATATATTCCATTTATTTATTTTTGTTTGGTTTTCACAACAGAGAGTCAGTTAAAAGAACTAACATAAAAATAGTCACTATATCCTTTTTAAAATAAATATAAAGTTCATTAATATAAACAAAGTAATGGCACAGAGTCTTTCAAATGAGAAAACAGTATCACTTGGTTTGAAGTTCAATAAATGGTTAAATCCTGTTTTCAGCTTTTGATCCAAATTCATTAGTTCTGAAGTTACTTTAATTTATGCTTTTAATGTTTTCTTACAATGAGTGCTCTAAAAAATTGAAAACAGTTGAGGCGTACAACTCCTTTGGAAATTAATGTTCTTATCTTGGATTTTATGTCTGAAAAAAAATAAAAGCAGACATTAAGAATAAATGTTGGCTGCATTATATGTTTTCTCTTCTTAGGTACTTTTTGTTGATCCTGTCCAAGAAGATACAGGTGATTACATGAAAGTGGCAGAGTTATTCTACCATTATAATGTACCACTTAGGTAAGGAAAACTGAAAATCTTGAGGAAGAGTCTTTAAATAAGGTTGCTTTCCATTTTTTCTTCTTCGTCTTCTGTTTTGCTAGACAAAGATGTGAATTCAAATGAAGTCCAATTCAACCACGTTCTAATAAGACACATTGGTTACCCACTTGTGTCAAGCTTACTCAGGTATTAAGTCTTCTTAAGCAAATGGATTGCAAGGGATAACGTACTTGACTGTGTGTAAAATGAACTGCAAAAGTCTGATAAAAATTTGTTTTGTCAAATAGTCCCACTGCATGCCCTTGTGAAGCTGCATCGTAATCAAAATATGCTGTAAGTAAAACATATTTTGAGAGAATTTTTTTAATTCAATTATTTCAGTTGAGGTTGTTTTACTTAACTTTGGTTTTATATAAAAACTTTTAAGACTAAAGCAAGATTGTCCTCATCAAGTTTTGAATTTCTAAAAATTAGCTGTCTGGGTCTGAACTAGTTAGCATTTGAGATAAAGACACTTTTAGGGAACAGTCTGGTTAATCTGAGATGCCTACTTTTAAGAAAAAATGAATTGTTTCATTTTATGAAAAATGAAACTGTTTATTTCCACAGCTTACAAATGAAGGGTATCCAAGGTTTAGCAAGATGAATTCCATGTTCAATATTTAAAATCTTCTTGTGAAATGTTTTTTGTTTCCTCAATAAATTACATGGTTTTCCTTTTTCTTTAAAATTTTACTATCTCTGATAATTGGTTTGTTTTTCTTAATGTTTTATTTTTCAATTACAAAAACATAATGCAGGACAGATATTAGTTACATGTGCATTTTGTCACTACCTGGGAGACAATACTCCTTCAGTCCTTGAGGAGAATATAGCCTAGAACATGATTTGCCTTTTGTGATACATACCAGCATAAGAGTAGCTAAACTGGGTCAGGATAAAGATCTATTTTGGTCAGTCTGTCTACAAGAAGCCACAAGGAATTGTCTTGGTATGATAAAAAGCATAGTGGAACCAGGTTCTTTACCTGAGTATTTTCCTGGCATTCATGCATTTGGAGATCAAAGAATTCTTAGGATACTTAGGATACTTAGCTATCCTCAATGGGTTTCTGTTCCACAAACTTTTCTGGTTTTCCCTCAAATTCCTGTAAAGTTTTAGCACCCCCAGTATCCTTTTCCAGGTATTTTCACAGTTGAACTATGTGATGAAAAACTGCTTTATTTGTTTTGAGCCTGAGTTTTAGTAGCTTCATTTACTGTCTCTGTGCTCTTATAAATAGGAACCTAAGCAGTCTATCCCTCTCTCTCTTGATTTTATAGGTGTCATGATTTTATAAAGCTCTGCTGTGTTCAACTGCACTCATTTCATTCCCTAGGTTACAAGTTATTCTTTTCCTGAAAGCTGTTCCAAAGTTTGTTTTATTTTCTGAGTTGTCTCTCTCCAGACTTTCTTAGTGTTAATATGTCTTCTCTGAGATGAGAGCAACAGCCATGTACACAGTATTCAAGATGTAGACAAGTCATGGGGTCTATCTTGTCATATGATATTTAGTTTTGCTGACTGTTCCTATGGCATCCAGGTGACATAAGTCTTTGAGAAAAGTTATTTGCAATAGTGAGATGTAAAAAATGGGAGAAGCAATTAGTTGTAGAACATGTTGCATCTTTATGCATTGATTATTATTTGTATCTTTTTAGAAAACTTGCTGTATTTCTTAATCCCTCTGTCCTGTGATCTGATACACACCTGATTGTCCTGAACACCTGTTTAAATGATTTTATACTGATAAGACAGATTTCATTTTAATAGCCTTAAGATATCTAATGTGAAGTGGCTATCTAAGTGAAAAGCTGACTTCCTAAATCAACCTACTGATTGTAAATATGAAGGTCCACTGAAGCATGGGCCCAGCCTTGCAGATGGTCGTGTCGTTGTAGTAGCTCTCATGTATCAAGGGACCAGTAGGTGCCTCATGTTCTTGTAGCAGCTATGACAGAGCTGTACGCTTCGTGGAAATACTTGCAAGATGCACGGTGTTTTGTATCGCAGGAGCCAGATTTGGGTCTCTGATAGTTCTTTAGAAAGACTGTAATTCTCTTGTTTTGCCTTGCAATTTGCCTCTTTTCTATAGTTGGCATAAATTTTGATCTTTCAGCCAACTGCTGCATATGGGACATTATCCAGTGCTGTCATATGTGTGGTCAGGAAGAGGCAGCAGCTTATACAGCTGTAGTTCATAGATGGCTGTGGTTGTGTAAGCCATTTTACACATTATTAGATGGTTTTGGTTGCAGGTTGGCAGCCAGAGACATCTCTACCTGTAGGTTGGCTATAAAGTAAATGTAGAGGAGAAAAAAATTGAATCGCTGCTTCCGTAGAGATTTCTCATGGAACAGCCTTTTGGTGGCCTGTTAGGTTTGTTTTGGGACAAGTGACAGCTAAAGGCAGAGGATTTTGCTGCAGGTCTAGTATGTATAGCATTAACTGTAGATGCTCAGGATGATTCAAGGATGTGTTCTGGAAAACTACATGCTGCCCCAGAGTGCAGTGAAGTATGTGCATAAAATCTCTATTTCTGATTCATAAAAGTATCTGGGTTTTACCATCTTCTTCCTCATGGCTCTCTCCCATTGCACAAGCAGGTTTCACGTTAAAATGCTGGTGTTGCACTTCTAAGAAAATTTATTGATAGCAGAGAGTGGAAGGCTTGGAAATGTTTAGAAGGGTTCTGATGGCTTTGGACTCACAAAATTCTGGATGACTGGCAGAATCCATCTTCCTAGTCTTCATCTTTTAATGCAAACAACTGTGTTCATGAATAGGCATATATTTTTTTCTCTTCAGAATCCATAAGTTCTAGCCATGGACATAGATGTGCTCTGTCACTTGGGACTCAGCAGAAGGATTTTTCGTGTCCTTTTCCTGTATCATGTATGATGTGGAATGGACTGTAATGATCAGAATTCCTTTCCAATAGTGTAGTAGAGACCAGAAGGATCCTTATTTGTTCTTGGCAGGGAATATAACTTCAAATATCTTCAGTTTTCTCTCTCCTGGGTGTTTAGTTTGGGAAAGACTTTGTGCTTTAGTCATTATGCCACTATTTGCAGTCTGTTTGACCAGATTGTCTCATTGCTCAAAGTCTTTGTTCCCCTGAGAAACAAGATCTTTACATCAGTGTCTTGGACTTTTAGGCTTTCTAGATGTTGTGGTTTTACCCCAGCCTGCAGTTAAAGCCCTCAGAGCTGCTGAGTCACTGCTCCTTGGTGAAATGGGGTAGAGAACTGGAAGAGTAAAAGTGAGAGAACATGTGGGTTGAGATAAAGACTAATAGGTAAAGCAAAACCCATGCACACGAACAAAGCAAAACAAGGAATTCATTCACCACTTCCCTTGGGCAGGCAGGTATTCAACCATCTCTAGGTAAAGGGTTTTCATCACTAAGTGTTGGGCAGATTACTTAAATGCAAACATCTTATTCTTCTGTTTTGGTATTAGAATGTGTGTGAAACAGATATTAAGATGTATGATCTCTTTTTGCTTGTTTATAGAATTGGAATTGTTTTCATTTTAAATACAAAAGAAGAAATTGATGGAAATGAAGATGCTGGAATAGCTCTTTGGAGAAGTTTTAGTTACATTGCGGAGGAATATGACACCTTTCAGGCCTTTACCTCAATAATTAAGGTTAGTTCTTTCACAAGAAATCACCTTTTTTTTTATTTTTTATTAAAATTTATTAATTTTTAATATAATTAGGATCTTGCTACCTCGTGATAACATGAGATGTATGCTTTTACTTTATATGGAAATGTTAGAAACGTGTGTAGCATTAATATTCTATTATTTGCAGAAATACTTTCCTTCCTCAGAAACCAACTTGCTCTTTTCATTTTACCTATCAACAGGCTGTCTTCAATAATATAAAAAATTAGATACATGCCTTGCAGCTTTTAGTATTTTCTTATGAAATATTATTCTCTATTATTTGTGTTAATGCAATGGCCCTGTCTTTGTGTTCTGTATCTTCTGGAGTACAGGGATTTTAATGTCACTTTGGTAGTCCTGTCAGCTTTGAAAAACCCTTTGTTTTTCTCCAATGTAGAAGGTGAAACAGAGTAAAATAATTTCTTTTTTTTTTTTTGATAATGCTTGAGCTGTTCATGAATGTACAAAACATAGAGACGCTCCAGGCTTGCAGCTTAATGCTTGACACAGGCTTTCTTTGTGAGAGAATGCAGGTTCTTGTAAAGACAGGAGTTTCAGAGGTGAGAGATGAATGGAGGAAAATAAAGTGAGCAGTCCATGTAAAGGCTCTGCAGGTAAAAATTACATCAGAGAATATGGTATTAATGCATAACATTTTTACTTACATTTCTTTTCTCTTTTTCTGTTTAGTGGTTAGAAACTGATGTCATGGATAAACTTAGAGAGCTTAAGATGAAAGAAATTAAAGTAACTAGGATTACCTTGGAAGAGAAATCCACAGATGTTAGGGAGCTGACATGCATGGGTGACAATTATCCCTGACCAGAATCACAAAATATAATTTACAGTGTGCTTTTTAAAATGTTGTGTTCCTCTCTTTACTTTGTTTCATAATATAAAAAGGAGAGAATGATAAATATAATTAAAAGATTGCAAAAATATAATCAATAAAATACAAGTTTGAGATACTCAGATCTATAGAGGAAAATGTATTGTTCCTCATTTGAAAAGAAGTGGATTGAATATTTTTCACTTCAAATTTCTATTGTATGTTTAATGAAAGTAATAAAATATTATTCTATGAAATAAAATAACATTTCTAAGGAAAAATTATTACTGTAGGAAAAAGTATCACTGACTAATTTAGGCTTGGATTAATCCCATATAGATTCAAGTAACTACCCATGATTAGGTAGTTTATTGAAAGAACTTAGATTGCTTCTCTAATTAGTGGAGAGAAATAACCTTTCACATTCAGCTCACATAAGTGTATTTCCTTTGCCACTTCAGATTTAGACTAAAGGTATAATAATACATTAATCAGAACAGTGCTCTGATGTAAAATTGTGCATATGAGCAATGGTGATAATTACTAAAGCAATATAAAAACTTCAATACAGCAATATAAAATTATATTGACACAAAATTTGCTAGAGCATTATAAAAAATTATTGTTTATATACTTTTATTAATTTTATCGAGTTATGTTTGACAATTCACCACATTTTTTTAATTTCCTTCTGTTATAATTTTTACAGATGTACCATGAAGTGAGAGATGGAAGTGTTCTAACAGTAGATGATGTGAAAGATGTCCTTAGAAGTGAATACCCCAATGCTGATGTTCAGAGTATACTAGGTGTTCATTCTGAACATGATGAAGGGAGGAAGGTATGTTGAGAGCCAAGTGGTAAGAAATACTGCAGTGTACAACTTAATGCATTTGCTAAGCTGAAGGATTGCTAAATGTTTAAGTAGATACAGCACCTTTGAGTCATTTTCTTCAGCTACCATTCAGTCATTAATTGAAATGCTGCAGGGGTTTCTGCATTACTACTCTCACTATGAAAATTTACTCTTGCCTGCTGCATTCAGGAGCACAAGTATTTTTTTTTTAGTAGTCATGTCAAGGGGTCTCTCTCATGCTGTAGAAATTATATGTGTCTGGGTGAAGAGCTGAAACCTGTCTTCTAGGTGGATCATTGTTTTCTTTAATTCTGCCTTCTGGTTATAATATCCTTTGGGAAAGACAGCTATGGATTTTTATTTAAAGGCTGTAGAGAAGACATTTTTATCTGTAATTGAGTAGACAGTTTTCTGCTAAAACATACATAAAATACCTTTTTCTTCTGTGTGTCTTCAGCCATGCTGTTCATACAGTCTTGTGTTTTTGACTCCATTTAATTTATTTCCTTTTAAAATTTGTTATCTAATGTGTATTATATTTCTTTAAAAAGATGTATTGGGGCAGCCAGAAAAAAGGGTGCACGCTGTTTATTCCTCACTGGAATGAAGTCTAGAGGCTTTGTGTGGCAGGGCAGTTTGAATCTGTCCTGGAAACAGGTGGGTACAGTTAGGAGAAGAAGGTCTCCCACAGAGAATATTAAAGAAAGAAAGAATGGTCAGCCACCAGGAAGAAGTCCCCTGTACAAGTGGGGACAGTGAGACTGTGATGAAGACCAGGGAAGAGACAGTGGGATGACAGAAAGATGAACACATAGATATTGCAAGAAAACATGAAACGATGCAGAATATAAGAAGGGAGAGTTGCTTACAATACATCTTTATTTCTCTTTGTCTCACTGAATTTTCTAACTTTGAGGAAAAATCAGCTTGTTCTTATTTCTTATCAAATAAGACTTCACTTATGAACGTAAAAGCCTTTTGAGTTTTTTTTAGGGTACTTTCTTTGGGAAAAGAAAACTTTGTCTCAAGGTTTTTCTCTAATGTTGTTGCTTAATTTTTTTTTCCGAAGAATGTTAAGCAAAATAAAAGAATATTTCTCAGCAAGTTTAAAACACCATCTACAGAGCTATGATTTCTTTTGTCATTCTGTTTGAGAAATGAGTCCCATCTGTTCCTCTGTGCTTTCCAAATGCTTCTTGTTTTCTCCCTGCTACTCATGAGAAGGTGTGACAGTGAAGAGTGCGTGGAGATTAGAGTTCATCCTCTCTTGATATTAGTTTTCATTTTTTGCAACAGTCAGCTACAGACTGTTTAATCCTGTGATATTTCTGATGTGATCAGGCAGGAGCAACCTTTTATAAAAGGAGTGGCCTGGGCCCATTGCCTCAAGTGCTGTTTAATGGCGTGCCCTTTAATAGAGACGAGATGGATGTTGAAGAGTTAGAGACAGTTATTCTTCAGAGGATTATTGATGCCACCAAGTTCTTCCAGCGGGCAGTGTTCATGGTATGTTCAACATTCCTGAATGAAGGCAAGATGAAATATTTGGCAGTAAATTGTTTGAGTCATGTTTATCTATTAAGTTTTTTATAATGAGATGACTTGGAATTAATAATAGCACACCTGCAGTTACATTGTTACATTAATTTGTGGTCATGGTTTTGAAACAGTACATTTAAATTATTCAAGACTGGAGGATCAACTGAGCATATCCAGAAACTGAGACTATACTGCAGTTGTTCATTGAAAAATGTGCATCTGATATTTTGAAATACTATCTGTCTGATATAATTTATGTGGTTTTGACTTGACGTAGTCCATAATTTGGTGTATATAGAAGCTTTAAGCTCAGTTGAAAGACTGTACAAATACTTGATCTTTGTCTTGAAACTATAAAAGTACAGATTTAATTTTTTTTCTCTTACTGCAGGGTTTGCTAAATGATCACATGAATGCAATAGATTTTCTTATGGACCAGAACAACATAGTTTCCCGTATAAACCCCACTATTCTTGGAGCAGAAAGAAGATACATACCTTTCAGACCCACATCTGGTAACTACTTTTCTCAGATTGGCTGTTGTTATGATTTTTCTTTTTTTTTTTAATGTTTAACATGTTGCATTTTACATTTTGCAGTTCCATTTGATGTGGAAGACTTCTCTACTTTCTCCTTTTTGGACTCGCAAGATAAAAGTGCTGTAATTTCAGACAACATGAAGTATTTAACAAAAAAGGGTATATTAGTTTCCTGTATGGGTTATCTGTCTATCTGTATATGGGTATTACATTGTTAAATTGTTGAAGTTTGCCAGTAAAATATCCTGAATAAGTCAGTATCCCAAGGATCGCATGTAAACAACTACATTTTCTAATATCCTAGTACCTTCCTTAAGGAGCCAGATCACATCCTAATATTATAAGCAAAAATTATAATTAACAGGATAGTTATTTTCAAATTTGTAGTTTTGAAATGGGATGGATGTGGTGGCTAGTTGTTTTTTGTTTCACAAACATAAAGTTTAAAAGCTTTGCAAGACTTTTCAGCTTTGGAAACAGACGCGGTTTTCAAACTAATACGATTTTACTTGAGAATGTTAGAGGATATTCAGTTTTCCAGTGACTCTTAGCTGCACCATTATCAAATGCAGAATATATAGTCTTTGTAATATCTATACCAAAATTAGGCATATCTGTAATTTCAGGAATAATTGATTATATATCTTATTTATTAGCATAAGTATCTTCTTATTTTTCGCCTAGTTAGATGGTTTAATTTTGCTATATGAAGCTTTGTCTTTTTGTAGAAAAGAAATGAAATATATTCTGATAAGCTCTGTCAGGGGAAATTTAGGCTGGATATTAGGAAGAAATTTTTTACGGAGAGAATAATCAGGCATTGGAATGGGCTGCCCAAGGAGGTGGTGGATTTGCCATCCATGGAGGTTTTAAGATGAGACTGGATGTGGCACTTAGTGCCGTGGTCTAGTAACCACGGCGGTGTTGGATCAAGGACTGGACTGGATGATCTCGGAGGTCTTTTCCAACCCTGTTGATTCTATGATTCTATGATATTATCACTCATTTATACATTTTATATTTATTAAAACTCAATTTTTTTGTACATTTGAACTATTTTTTAATGTAAACATTCTTATTGCATATACAAGTACATTCCCTTGGAGTTAGAGGAAATTACAACAGAGGGGGCATATTTCTGCATGGAATTTTACCTTATTTACTTCTAGGAGGGAACAGTTAACAATTGCTCTTAACCAGTCCATCAAGAGACAGAATAACCATGTTAACAAAGTGCTGTTCTTTCAGTGATTTTTATGTAATATTTACAGAGTTTCTACTTATTCCATTATCAGAAGTAAATGCCAAATACTTAAATTTCTTCAGAATACAATTATTTAGCTCTATTTGATTCTGTGTCTTCAGCCATAGGGACATCCCAGCTAGCTGTCAAATGACTGACTTTCAATTTTAGGCTTATTTGTAAGATTGAGATCTCTTGTGTAAAGCCCATAACCTTTAAGCTGGAATCTATATTTCATATCTTTGTCCCCAGTATGTTTCTCTAGACCACAGCAAGAGTTAATAATAACCTCTTCCTAGAATCTCACCAGAACCTTTGAAAATTTCTGTCTATATGTATTACCTTTTAGGGGATATATGATAGACCTGGGTAGACTGATATTCTTCTACAGATAATTTTGCAGAATTTTTCACATACCGTTCCTGTTCTATGACAAGTAAAGAACAGGAGACTGCAGAGCAGGAAAACAGGAAATTTTCTGCAAAAACACTTACACAGTAGTTTACTTTCTTTGAATTGTATTTATTATTATTCTCATTTGTGTCCAGAAGTTTTTTTCCAGCATTTAGTTGAAGGACTCTGCTGCCAGAGAAAGTGGTTGGCCTAGTTTATGCATTCTTGTAACTACCTAATTCTTCTCATTTCTGGCTATATGAGCAGCCTCCATCCAATGTTCAGAAGTAACCTCTGGTAAAGCAGATCTTGTTAATTGGAGCTATCTTATTATTTAGGGCCCTTTTGTTTCAGTGCTGCAACAATGGCTTGGCTCTTTTAGTGACTTTGTCCTATTAACATGGTAAATTACCTCCTAAGAATCTTATTTCAATTCAGTGAACAAAAGATTCTGATGTGGCAAAGATTAGTCTTGCAATTGAAGTCAGCAGTCAAACATACACATAAATTTTGAAATCTCAAACAGAATTAATTCATTATTCATTAGTTGTGAGAAGATTCTCCAGAAAGTAATGCAGGATTATCTTTAATTTTCAGATGAAGACGCAGTATATGCTGTTACTATCTGGATTATTGCTGATTTTGATAAGCCATCTGGTAGACGACTGCTTTCTAATGCCTTGAAAAGCCTGGTGAGTTTCTAGCAGGTTTTATGAAATTAATTATTATGAATATGTTCTTAACAACGCTCTGCACATTCAGTAATTATACTGCTACATAAAGGTGTAACAACATTTTTTTTGTGGGTCAGGTGCATACTTAAAAGACTGTGCTTTTGTTTTGCCCAACTCCCCCCCAGAAATGATCGCTTGGTTGGTTCTTGGGTCATGACACAGGAGAGAAACTGTGACACTGTGTACTAAAAGGGTGAATGTCTTCCCAGTTACAGACTTTCTCCCGTCACGTAGCCTAGCATGTGACCTGGGCCAAGGAATTTAGCATACTGCCTGTTGATGTGAGCCATTATGCAGTGTTCTCCTGTTAATATGGCATAACTGTGGTCATGAAGCAACCATTTTTTCATGTACTGTTTGTGTGCTTCAAAGACAGATTAATTTTTGTGTGTGTGTTTTTAATGTTAGGAGGATCATCCACATTCATGAGTTTGCTTTTATTTTAAGTTCTTCTGTATTAATAATAGGATTTAAAGTATAAAATACAAATATGTAAATATACTTTATAAAGTATAAATGTCTCATGTGAATATAAATGATGAAAAACTCTCAGTTTGGGTCAGTTTAGGAGAGTGCTTAAACTGAAATTGGGAAAGCATCTACATTTTCCAATCAGGAATGAAATAGGAACCACCCTAAGGGAATTAGAAGATTGATATCTTGCAGAGAGCATGTGATAACAAGTATGTATTAGAGAGAGGCTTTAAAAAACGTAAAGAGGAATATTCAGTACAAGTCCTTGTTACAGAAAAACATTTAATTTCTCTGGCTGCTTGATCAGTGACCCAAGCTTGACATGTCTTCTGTCTGTAGTTTCGTTTTCTGCCCACCACTTCAGCAGAGGAAAAATTCCATATTCCCAGCTAAGAGGTGAGAAATGCCTAGGCAAGTCCCCATGTGTTAGTAAGGAGAATCTAGGAAAAAAAACTATTAGAAAAAACCATTCTGAATAAGGTTGGTCAAATCTTCAATGCAACAGCAGTTTAATTGGTTGTCTTCATTCTAATTCATAGATTGATTCACATAAACCTCCTGTACTGCTTAGTCTAGTGACTTTCAAGTGTCATGACAAAAACCAGAACCAATATTTTTCTTAAGTCCACTGATTTGTATGGAGGTTCTCCTTTCTAGTCCCTTTTGTCTGTCAAATCAGGGTCTAGTAGAATTTCTGATAGTTGCAGAATTGGCACAAACACCTCTTGCTCATGACTTGCCATCAGCATTTGAAGAAAACGTGCAAGAATCTGGGCGGGCAAGTGGCTGAAGGAAATTCACTTTTAACTATTCCAACTAATATATACTGTTTTGAAAACTACAAATATATTTTTACTTAATTTGAAAAAAAAGCTAGAGATGTCTTAGCTGGAAGAGACCTTTAGAGTTCATCCAGTTCAGCCTCCCACTCAGAGTGGGATTATTGCCTTTATTAGATCAGGTCAACTGTAGGTGTGTCTGAAGGATTCCTGGAAATCTCCAAGGAGGCAACTCTGTCCCCTCCCTTTAGAATTTGCTCTGGTGTTGCACTGCCTTCCTAGTACAGTTTTTTCTGCCAGGCCAAAATTTGTGACCATTAACCCTTGTTATACTCTGCTGCTACCAAGAAGGATTTGGCCCCAGTCATGTTTTTCATTCCCCTTCAGTAGCAGTTGGTTGCCATTAGAGTCCCCTGTAGCCTCCTCTTGGCCAGACTGAGCAAGCCCAGGTTCTTCAAGTACTTCCTCATGGTCTTCTGACCATCTTAAAAGCCCTTTGCTGAAGCCTCTCCAGCATTTCAACATCTTTTACTGCACTGGGGGGGGGACCATAACTGTTTTAACAAAGTTTTTCTCAAGGGCTGCAGTTTAAAGTTTGCTAAAGTTTAGTGTGTTGAGTACCAGTGGTTGCACTACTTATTTTTTTATTTCTTACTGCAGTAAAGTCCATTTACCTTTTCTTCAGTTAGTGATGCTATTTGATCCTACCTTAGAATCCTCGTGCTCTCTGGTAAAATTTGAGTGGCATCACTGACTTTAGCAGGTGAAAGATTTTTCTGGTGATTAAGATTAAAGGGGTAAGTGGATAAATTTGCTTGCATTTATTTTATGCTTAGTTTGATAGTTTTTGAAAAACAGAAAAATGTCTACAAAACCAGTTCTGAAGTCTGTAGATGAACACTTGTGTATATCCTTTGTTAAAAATAGGCTTCTGCAAAATGCTCAAAGGCAGTTGTTCTATTAAAAAAATCCTTCTATTTAAAATATGTATTACAGAATAGGTAAATCCTTACTAATCATGTTTTAACTCCTAGTTGAAATTATGAATTATATTACGGCATTGAAGTATATTTTCTAAAGACAAATAGCTGCAAAAAAATTAAATACTTAAGTTCATTTTACAGAGATACGAATGCACTACATAACAGCAGATGGAACTGTAAATGAATGTGCTTATTATTCTGTATTTTTCTTTGCAGAAAACAAGCAGTCATACACGACTAGGGATTTTGAACAATCCTTCATCAAAAATAAAGGAATCTAACACAGCCATTGCAAGAGGAATTTTGTCTGCTTTTCTAACACAAAATAACAGCAACTTAAAAAGTTTCCTCAGTAAACTCAGTAAGGAAGAGACAGCAAAATCCCTTGCTGCTGGAACTAAAATTACTAAATTCCTCATCCCAGTGAGTAAAAACTAAATTAGATTACTTTCTTTTTCATTTTACATATATTTTATTGTAAGGGGGCATGGTTGAGAGTGACAGCGTGTGGCCAAATGTTACTAAGTTTACAACCCTTATACAGTTTCTGCTCAAGCAGATTTGGATTTTTGGCAACTTTTATACAGTTGAAGAATAAAGAATTTATTTAAAGTCAAGCAAGAGTACTGAAAAATAGAAAGTACAGATACTGGATAATCGAAACCAAAATAGTTTATTTTTTAATTGTTGATTTTTTTTGATAGCTCTCAGTTAAAATTACAATATTACTGTTTTTCAAGAATTAAGACTTCAGAAGTAACTTTTTACTGCTGCTGTGGTTGTGAGCAGTAGTAGGCACAGACTGAAGCATTATACAGTTCTGGACAACATTTTCTGCTGTGTTTTTATGCAAATTCATTGATTTTAAAATACAAATGTTGCTGATTTCAAATTTCTCATGTAGGGTGGAGCTGAGTTATCAAATAACAGCTGCTAACTACAGGTTTTGTTTCAGAAGGAGCTATAAATTGTTGTCTTTTTAAATAGGAGGTGTTGCAAAACTAAGAGAACTCTGACAACGTACTGGAAAATTAATTAGTTGCTTTGAGTCATACTTTTTATTTCTTTAATAGATTTTGAAAGACGTAAAGGTAGATAATCAAGCAGGCATGTTACTGATTTATTTTGTTTTGTTTATTCTGATACACTAATTGTATCTGAACGAATCTATTTGCTTGGTCTGCATATTACTAGTGAAGAAATACATATCAGGAGAGTTTAATATAACATGATAATTTTGACAGGTAAGGCACAGTGCCAGTGTAAGTTTTGACATTTTTTCCCACTTTGGACATGGATTTGTTGTGTGTCTTATTGGATGATGTTGGCTTCCCCAAAATATATTCAAGTTGTATCCAGTGGCCACATGAATGACTGTTAGGTTTTTGGGGTATTATGGATTTTTTGTACATCTTTTTCCTAAAAGTGAGAATATAGTTCAGTTGTTAACAGAAAATGTTATTTTTCATGCAGCTGTGTGCTGGATTGTGGAAAAAGTGCTTACCCTCAGGCTCAGTTTTCCTCTCACAGTTATTCAGAGTTACCCCAGGGTAAAAACAGCACCCTAGCTAATTGTGAGACCTTGGCTCCACACCAACAGTCGTGTACTTACACTGAAGTTGAGGTTGTTTTGCTTTGATTTCTCATTACCACATAACTTAGAGAAAATCTTTGATTACCTCGTCTGTTACAAAATTTATTTTTGCTGAATCATTCCACCATCTTATGCTTTACCTTTGCTTTAGGGAATGGATGGCAATACTTTTGAGAAGAAGTACAACACTTTAGGACTGGATTTAATTAAAACCCACCAGATGTTCTGCCAGGAGGTTCTTAAACTGCTTCCTGGGCAAATGGCTGTTATGAGCAATGGCAGGGTAAGAAAGAAATTCATCACTCAGTCTTCTTGTAGGAATTTTTTACTTCCTGGAACTTCAGTTTCAAGCTAAAGAAAATGCATTATAATAATTTCCCAGTTATTCATCCTATAGTTAGAGAATGGTTTGAATGTTTGCCTTTGGGGTTTTTTAGTTTGTTTTACTCCTGTTTTTTTCATGAGCTCTATTCCACTGAAGCTGCTATGTATGTGTGTAATTCCCACAGCTATTTTAGAGTTAATCTGACGAAATTCTCTAAATGGTTTAATATCTGATTTTTTATTTATGATATTTAAGAATAAATTTTGATCCTGAGCTTACCTATACTATACCACATAAATAAATATATATAAATTACATTGTCTAGGTTAGTATTTCAAGCTGTAAAACACCACATTTTTTATAAATATTAAGTTGTTTTATAGTCTTAATTCTTAATATTCAGATAAAAGTATAGTAATTTTTTTGTTTCTTATATGTATATCCTGGAACCAATAGCCTTAATTCCAGTGTGTCTGTAGGTGAATTGTGATTTAAAAAATACAATGTTGCATTCAATATTTAGTACTTGTTAAATGACAGTCAATATCTTACATTGTAAATAAAATCTATACAGACTACTCCTTTACTCTTTTCTTTTTTCTGTTTATTGCTCCAGCATTAGAAAGAAAGAGATACTGTATTGGCATCTCATTACTGGAACCTCTCTTTAAAATGTGACTTTAGTTATTTTTGTGCATCCTAAATGCTTCTGAGATGCAACTGAAACACCTCTAATAAACACACAGAAAACATTTCTGTTGATGAAGCACAAAAGAATTGTTGGCTTTTTTGGTGTCAACTCCCCCATAGCTAAATATGCAATGTTATTTTATAAATTATTATTACTGTTTTCTATGCCTAAAAAGCTCAAATAATGTCATATTTTAAGTTTTGGGGAAATAGGTTTCCTAAAAATACTTGGATAAATTTGATAATGCACATTCCATCTGAATGTGTGTTTTCACTTAAAAGATTACTTTAAAAAAAAGATATGGGATATCCTTCACTTCTATCCTAGCTATTTCAGCACTTTAGTTTTCTTTTCATGAGCAAATTAAATTTTTTTCTAGTTATAACTTCTACAAAATTAGCATGGTATTTTATAATCACACTGTGGTTTCATCTATCTCATACATCATTAATACTGATAAACAGTCAAAAGTGAAATAACTCCAGAGAGGTTACATAACCTCTCATTTTTAGGAAGCAGTTGAATTTTGGGAGAGAGTCGTTCATTGCCAAACTTACATCATGACATTCTACATCCTGGGCACTGTGTAAGGTGACTTGGGTCCATTTAGCTTGGTGGACGTTGAGTAGAAAATCCAAACAGCATCCTCAAAGCTATTTTCTGGAACTTCAAGGCACCTTCTTTTCCTTCAGACACCAAAATAACATAGTAGTTCTATATCTTGTCTCTTATTCTGCATTTCTTATCCTTTGCTCTTTTCTTCCTTTCTGTACATTCTGCTTAGAATGGATAGAAAACCTTGAGAAGTTAAGATTGTGCTCACAGAATTAAACAACTAAATAGTGTAGTAGACAGGCAGTAATTTGAGTTTAAATTAATGTACCTAACAGAACTTCTTCTTAGAGTTGTTATTTCTAAGTAGTGTATTCCTTTACAGAGGGACGTATAATGAAAGATAGCATGGATATTTCAATTGGAAGTATTTTTTGTGATTGAAAATTAACTGTAATCACATTACTGTAAAAACCTAATTCTGCATGGTTACTATAAAGTTTGGTGTTTTATAGTTACTAATATTGAAGTGTATGGGGATGGGGGTTGAATATTGTGCATTCATTTAAAATATTAATGTATTTTTACTTACAAATGGAACAGTATTGGGACATTCCACACTTAATGACATTTTTTTCTCTATCTAAGGTACTGGGTCCTTTAGATGAAAATGAATTCTATGCAGAAGACTTTGATTTGTTAGAAAAGATAACATACAGTACCTCTGCAGAGAAGATTAAAGCTCTTGTCAAAGAGATGGGAAACAGCAGTAAAAGGTAAAATTCTCTTGCATTTTGAGGCTTTATGATGTACTGTCTTGTTTATTGCCTGTGACAAATTAATTATGTTTTTGCATGGGAAAATATGAACAAAGGTTCAAGTATATAGTCATAGTACTCTCCATGCTATATATATATACACTCTACATGCACTTAAAGTGTTTGTTGTTTGAATGCTGTATATTTACTATCCTCTTACATTTGAATACTTCTGTGCAGACAGGTTTGTCTGTCCTTCATTACCTGGTTAGCATTTCCCTGACAGACTTAATATACTTATCTACTCCAGCCCTTACCCTGTTTTCCAGAAGAAATTACACATCTGCTAAATTCTATATCACCTTTATGCTTGGCTGATTATGCTATTTAACATAGTTTTCCGCTATATATATAAACTGTGTATTTTGGTTTTCAACTGCCTGTGTCATCCTGCTGGTGACAGCCTCTTTGTTGCCTCATTGTTACAGCACAGAGGAGAATAAAAGGCATCCTGTGTTACTCAGAAGAAGTGCACTGTCTTGTCATTGCACATATATGTGATGTGGTTAAGGCATAAGAGATCCCTGTGTGTGTGTCCAAAAAATCACATCCTCTCCAACTCACCTCATCTCATGTGTGCAGACAACATTCACACATGTAGAGATGAGTTCTAGACATCTTTTAGTCTTAGGATCCAGATGGTGTACAAAGAAGAGAGCAAAATTATGTTATTTTTACAATATCTGTTGGCTTACTAAGTCTGAGTATCATTTCTGTTATCTGGAAGGACTGGCACAACTGAAAGAATCACTACCAGAAAAACAAAATCAGCAAGAGTTAGATATCCAGGAGACAAGTAGTGAGAGGCAAAACATTCAGACAAATATTGTGACTTAGTGACACTGAAAAAAAAATAAGAGAAAGAAGGAATAAAGAGTTATAAATGTCAGCAAATTGTAGCATCGAAACTGTGTGGCTGAATTATAATTCTGCAAATTCTGCATCAGTTAAAATTAAGAAGTGTGCAGTTCACAAGCTCTAAGGCTGTAGTGGTTCTTGGGCATTGTCATGCTAAAGGTTTTAGTATTTTACAAATACTGAGGTGATAATTCCTTTAAAGAGTCCAGAATTGGGATATGGGCTTCTTAAATATTATGCAGGCAGACAGCCATTAAAATATAAATGTTTTACTCCTTTTCTAATGAAAAAGAACTATATGTGCTTTATTTAATACAGTGGCAGTGATTTGATTATGAAAATAGATGCCCTGCTGTCATCTTTGCCTAAAACAGAGACGAGACAGGATGCTGAATTACTTAAAGAGCAGCACAGGTAAGTTCTGTCTGTTGTGATAATGCATTTACACTACTTTAATATAGAAATTGGAATGTACTGATGACTACATGATGTCTCTGGAAACTTGAGTAAGCATTCCAGTTTGGAAAGAAGTTGTTGATTCTGTGTTTGTATGAACAACCTGTTCATCTGCCATAACATAATGTGTTTTTACCTTTTTCTTAATAAATTAATTAGTAATACCTAATGATTTTCCAACCTTATACTTTGCTGAAAAAGGAGTGATTACAATTGATGTGAATAGGAGTGGTTGATTTGGAGTTAAAAAACTTGGAGTCAGTACACTTACTAAGATGTTAGAAGGAGTTTCACTGATTAGAACTAAAAGAAGTCTCCATTAATTTTTGTTAATGTGGAAAACTAGCACAGCTTCTTATGTCTGTGGATCTTGATTACTGTTGCCAAGACTGATATACATGTGCTTATACCTGGATAACAGTTTATGGCTTAGCAGTGTCTAGCTAATACAACTAGAGTACATTAAAATGCAAATTAATAGGGCTCACTGGCAGCTAATTCCTTAAGGAAAAGCGAACCCCCTGTCATCAGCCAGCAGATTTAGACCTGGGAAGCTCATGTGTCTTTAGTGTCCTTACTTGTGTGTTGACTCCTTGTGTTTGGAATCCTGCATTAGAAAGTGAATATGCCCTGTCATCTTTTGTTGTCACTGTTGATGAATGAGACCTGAAGTACCAAGATGAGCACCTGTGAATCCTGTCCTCTCTGTAAGGGGATAGTGGTTTTAAATTAGGCTTAGCTGGGGCAAGCTTATTGGAGAGACAGGTACATTTTTTAAAAGGACATATGGTAACACGAGAACTATGATCAAGCTAAAGATTTTTGAAATGTTATTTTGGAATCCCTACTTGTTTTACTGGTAAATGTCCTGCAGTGTGCTGTGCTTGTTGTTGAAAACAGGAGTAAAATCAGTAGTAGCCTGTTTTAAGAGGCTAACACCTTTGTCAAAGTTAGTTACTGACTAGTAACAGTCAGTACTGTGCTGCTACCATACCTTTTGTGGAAAACAAATTCAGACAGTCCCTTTTGTGTATTTACAGCACATTGGTTTTTGTCTTTTTTAAAGTGAGGTTTACTAACATTTCCTTTCTGTCGATCTAGAGTACTTTAAATAGCGTCTCCCTGACTTAGTCTAATCAAGTTTATCAAACTAAATTATTTTCTGGAACACATAATGCTAATCCATCCTGTCAAGTTTCACACTTCGCAGTTGCCATTTTTTCCACTGCTTGGTTCTTTTTCTTTTTTCTAAATTGTAGCACTGCCAGCACTTGTCTCATCTGATGGTTCTAGATCTTGGTGAAGGAAACTGTAGATGAGTATCAAAAAGGCCATATTTTTCCAAGTTTTACCATGGTTTATTCTATTAATTTTGTTGTGGGGAATGTATCTAATCAATAACCAGTATAGAACTATATAGATCAATGCTAAATTTTTAATGTCTGTTCTCATTTAGCTTCCCTAGTGATATCACAGAGAGCAATCATGATTATTGCTTGAAATGAGGGAAGTGTCTTTTTGAATAGTAAAATCTGAAGTACTTCTGATATTACAAATTCATGCCTAAAAATGCCTGTCATTTCCACAAATTCAGTTCAGAGTTTTCATTTTTAATGAATATTTTTAATACTTTTTTAACAGCGTAGTAAAAGTCGACCCCCAACAAAACGAACCATTCTATGATGTTATTGCTATTGTGGATCCATTGACAAGAGAAGCACAGAAGATGTCTCATTTATTGATTGTAAGATGGTGGTAATTTTTTTTTAATTTACGTATTTGTAGCTTAATTTTTACTAAACTTGTTCTAATTTTCATGTACAGTATAATAAAAGGCTAAACAAAATTTAGTTTTTTTTTCTTTTAAATATGTGTTTAGGCATTTTAATTCATATAAAAAAGTTGGGGGTGACCTAATTCATCATTGTGAGTACTTTATTTGCAAGTGAAGTTCATATGCCCCATGCACCAGTCCTCTTAAAAGTGAGTCCATAAGTGCTCTTTATAGTGAATAGAAGGAAAGGAGGAGATTGTCTACATAATACAGAGGAATAGAATCTCCCATCTCAAAATTTTAAGAGGCATATGCTTCATTCTATTAAACCAGATCACCTTAGTTTTCCAAGGTACCCAGTTGAGATGGTCTAAATCTGACCTGTAGTATCATCATAAGAAGATTGGACTATAAACCTTTCAGCTCTTGGAGGGGTATTTCTCAGTTGATTAATGCTACTGAGTATTTCTAGATGGTCTTCCATTGTGTGTAGCTATTGATCTTTGAAAGAGAAATGGGCCTAAAAACATAGCTGCTAAAATGATTTTCTTTTTTCGCTTACTGCAGAATATCACTGTCTCAGGTTCCTTTATAGTTTCCCATAAAAATGCAAATTTTGTCTTCACTTTATGGTCTGCTACAGTTCTGAAGCCTGTAACTTGATTTTTGGTGCATCCCATTTTATCTTCTTTTTTCTTCAGTAATTATGCAAGTTTTGTAAATTCTTGTATTGCTTTTTCCCCTCACATTTTCATACCCTTTTTTGTCAAAGGTTGAAGCATCCACTCTCTCTTCATATGTAATAGTGAAGCAAAGTAAAATGTTTTAAAAGATTCATGAAAATTCTGATATTTCAGGACACTGAAATGCTAGCTTTTCTCTAGAATGAGATCTCTCATTTCACTATTCTCAGTTAAAATGAAAGCTTGTATTACCAAATGAAAATATTTGCATGTTGAAATTGACTGGAAACTCTCCATTTAGCCAGAAGTTCATATTAGGAGTATAAATCACGTTAAGAACCTTGCAGTTCAGACCAGAAGCCTTCATTCCTCCTGGCACAACAGGTGCCCTCATGCATGCCTGGGCAAATGACTCCCATGGTGTGAACCAAGCTGTTCAGCTGTCCCAGATCCTACTTGATTCACAGGAGCTCTAGTTTTATTCAAGAAGCCAGCCTTTAGGAGAGAATAATAAAATGCTGTTGAAAGTAAACCAATCAGAACTATTTTAATGTAGATGACACTTTTTGATAATATTTTTAAAAAACTAAAAATAACCTGGAAATTATATATTAAAAATATATATAATTATCTGGAAAGCCACCACGTCCTGGTGTAGAGACAAAACAGGCATACATATACAGCAAGCCCCAAATTCAAAGTTCTTAAATGGATGCCTTTCTGATTATCTCACTGTATATATGGGTGACTTAAATACTGTAAACTTTAAGCACCTGAATGTATTTGTATTTAAAGGTTCTTCTTTTGAGTAACATAATTGGATTCGTGCCCAGTCTATTGTTTTGGTAACCATTTAAGGATGCAAAATTTGTGTAGTAGCTACCATGGCAAACACATGATTCTTCCCCAGTCTGCATTGAGTATGTCCATGTCATGATTTTTTTTTTTTTTCCCTGGTGAAACCAGGGTATTATATTACTTTCTGTGTCACTTTCTACAGAGAAATCTTTTAGTTTGTTTTTTTTTTTTAAATATCAACAAAAAGTTACTCAGATTAAGTGGAATTGAAATTGAGAAGGGTGTAAATAGGTATAGGTAAAATGTAATCTAAAATTTACTGCTTAGTCTGAGAATCTGGCAATTTAAGGATGGAGGCATGGTATGAGTCAGATCATGAATGAGAGCTGAGTAAAGGCTTCTGTCTGTTTTTAAAATATATACCGTAAGAACTGCTCTATATCCTTTCCAGAGTGAGGCAGGTAGCACTCTCCATATAATGTGTGTTTTCCCTTTTTCAGAAGTTTCGTTACAGCCTTGAGCATCAAGTATTTCCAGATAAGGCACAGGCACTGCCTATAGTAAATATTTAAATACCTACCATAACTTAACCATGATCGGACCACATAAGTTCCTAGCAGAATATATGGAATGGCTAATTAGTTCTGAAGTTAGGAAGGTGATCTCTAAGGTGATGTGAAAAAAATTGAAATTCCTTCTGCTAAAATGGAGGACAAAATCGAAGAGTTGTGTTGTTTTTAACTCATGGTTCACCAAAAACAGCTGAAAAATTATTATACATACTCTTAAGATCGTCTGCCTTTCTTTTTCTTGTTCCAGTAGGTGTCCAGTAATTTAAAAATGTGGAGAGAAAAATCAAACCTTTTCTTTTTTTCCTGTCAGTTATCTTTTGCCTTTTTTCCTATATTCATTCTATCCTCAGAGAGAAACTCTTATTCCATCCCTAAAGTAAAAGGAGTCCTGGAAGGAGCCCTTTTGATAATATAGTCTGATTTCCTGTATAACATGGGTCATAGGACTTCTTTTTATCAATTAGTATCTGAAGTAGAAATAATTTCTTAATTCCTAATTTAAATATTATCAAGTAGTTGAGTGCAGATTGGAGCTCTTACTGAGCTTTTCCAGTGGGTAAGTAACCTGACTTGGACTTGGCATTATGGATTTTTATTTAGATCCATGCTGTAAGCATTCATCTTCTCATTATTTTGCCAGTTCTGTTGAAGATTCTATTATAGGAGTTTGTTTTCAGTGTAGATGCATTGTGTTATGGTGACCTTCACAAACAATTCCACGTGATTGGTTGAATAATCATGGTTTAGTGAGTTAATGCTCTTCAGATAGTTGTGGTAACTTAAGTGTTTTGCAAAGTGACTACATATGCACAATAGAACTTGCTCTTAAATAATTTTCAGACCTAGTAAACTGAAATAATTCAGCCACTTTTTACAGTATGAAATGCTCTGTGAACTAAATTACATGCTCTTCTTTGAATTTTCTGATTTAAAGTAACCAGACTGAACTCTTCATGTATCCTATAAAAGAGGCTTTCCAATCTTATAACCATTTTCATGTGTTGCTTTAATGTCCTGGCTTTTGGTGTCCTCATAAGACCTAAATAACAGAACCAAATTCAGTATTCCAGAAGTTGAATTGTTGAAAAACACAGAAATAATGCATTATTGTCTTATTTGTCATTTCCTATTTAAATTCCTTTGAAATGTTAATCAAGAATGGCATTATTCTTTTTGCTACTGTACTAAATGTCATGGTCAACTGATGAATTAGGATGATACCTCAGCCTTTTGCAGGATCATTTCATTCTACACACAACATCCTATCAATGCAGATTGCTGAAGTATCATTCCTGCTATAATGGGATGAGGGGTTTGTGTTGTTTGGACGTGAAGTCCAATACATTTATATCATGATTTTTATTCTGAATGATAGATATTTGAGTCACTTGGACCTCTATTTTAATGGTCTTAAACTTCCATCACGTAATACTTTCCCTTCTTATGTTTCCAGTGCTGTTGGGTTCCCGTTTCTTGGTTCTTCACTTGTTCCCTAGCCTTTATTTTTTGTTCAGTAGTTTTCCAGTGATGGTATTCAGGTGACACAAAGGAATGAGGAACTAGGAATAGAACAGGTCCCTAGGGCCATGTAAAGTTACAGCACTGTAGTAAAGAATGTGTGTAAGCCATGGGTTGAACTGGGGAAAGAAGAAATACAGTTATAATAAAAGAAGAACTTAATGACCGTTGTCTTGCTTTGTTCCCAATTTATTTGCCCTTATAATTTTCGATTTTAGCCCCAGTGGTATCAATATTCTAACTTAGGTTTTATATCTTATTGACTATTCTAATAATATCCATAAATGTAGATGCAGATGCTTTATACTTTCAGATAAGCACTTTGTATCAGAAAGCACAGAAATGAAGATAACTTAATAAAGGTTTTTTTGGGTGCTTTAACTAAATTAATAACATTGTTAGCTTTAAACAAAACAGATTGCTCATTAAATTAAGAAAAAGCTATTGTCCTAATTTTATGGTTCTTATGTAAAATCATCCATAACATTAGTATTTTAGAAATAAACAGATGAAGAAACTGAGAAAAAAAAAGTAGAAATATATTAACTTACTGAAATTTTTTGAAGTTGATACTGTTAATGTATTGTTGACTTGTAAAATTATTAAGTAACTAAATATTAAAATAATTCTCTGTATTCAGCAATTTTCTGTATACAACTTTTAATAAGAATGAACGTAGTCATTTTAAGACAAGTTATTGAGTAAAAGGTATGTGTTTGTACTTAGAGAACTTCAAGTGTTTTAAAATCTTCTAGAAAACACAATGTAAGAAAGGTGATAATATAATTTACTCAAGTATTGGAAAATGGAAGCAGCTGCTCTTCGTAAAACAGCATCACTAGGAGAAAACATTAACATTTTGACTATCAAGAATAGCATGTGCTAAATCATGCAGTTTTAGAAAAGGTCATATCTTTATTTGGAATATCTGACAACATCCTTTAATAGACAGATATATTTAGAACATTAAAAAATCTGAGATTTCTACTGAAACTTGAGAAATTACAGGATGTCACAAGGATGACTTTGGCTTATTTTCAAGGTTTGGTGATTACCAAGAACCATTTCTTAAAGAAATTTTTTTTCTGTAGGTACTCAAGGACGTTATCAATATGAAGCTCAGGTTATTTTTGAATTGCAAATCTAAGCTGTCAGAACTGCCACTGAAGAGGTAAGTAGTTTCTAGCTTTTCTTCTATGATCTTGCTCAGTTTGGGAAAACAGCCTTAACAGTGTATGTTCCCTTAAAAAAAATAACATTGCTCTGTTTCTGGATTCTTTTTTCGTTGAATGTTACCTTAGCAGTTTGCATTTGTCTAGAGAAAAATTTTTGTTCTAAGGTGTCAAGCATGGGATCACAGGGAAGTGATCCAGTCCATCAAATGCACCTCTTATAAACAGACCTCAGAGAAACCAGTGGAGAGTCTTTTATGCCTATGAAAACTCGTAGAGGAAGATGGTCTGCCTAACTTGATCCCTTCTTACAGCCCACTGTCTGTGCAATGAATTTTACAGATTCAGTACTCTTAATAATGAAATTCATCTGAATAAATGCACAGTCTGCATTTGAGATCTCACTATATTTCAGAAAGAAGATTAGACCCTGAAAGTACTACCATAAATTGAAGTTTCTTTCAATTCTCTGTAGAAAACAAGGTTCGCTAATTTAGTGATAGACATTTACACTGAAATGAATTCCCCAGAGAGGATTCCTTTCCCTCTAGGAGAAATGTTTAAGCACAGCCATCTCTTTGGCAGATATTTTACCTCTAATTGTAATATCTTTATTACTAATTCTCTATAAGAAAGGTAGGTGGTAGTGCCTGCCCTTTAGCCAGTGGGCTGGAGAACGAATCACTTGCCCACAAAATGGAAGTCCTTAGTTTCTCTTCGGTTTGAGAGGAATTACTCACATCTCTTAGACTGCAAGAGTCTAAGAGACTGCATCAGTCCTCTGAGAATCTTGTGTGAACATTGTCATGATTGCTTTTAAAGCTGGGCACTTTGCAGATGTTAATGCCTGACTCTTTTCTTGTGCTTGGGAGAACTTTCAGCTGTGGAATAAATGGGGTAAAGAGCTGGAGAGGAATAGAGAGACCACTGCCTTTCCTCTGTTCTGTCTTTGCTTCTGCTAGTGTCAGGAGCAGTTCTAAAAGACTCTTTTCTTTTAATGGAGATTAGTCCCTCTGCTTAGTTCAGTGATACAGAATCTGAGAACAGGAGGCTGTTCACAGTCAAGATGTTCAGATGCACCTCTTGGCTATTCACCTTCACAGCCCTTAGAATGTTAGTGGAAAACAGGCACTTCCACAGCAAAAAATTATCAAAAGCAAATAGATGCGTTCATCTACCAGCCTATTTGAGTTCCTGTTGGTATTGTCTGATGGTATTCCAAAAGCATAGGGAACTACTGTGCTTCTAAACTTCATTAATTTGGTAAACATTCCCTATATTTTAAAGTATTTTAGAAGAACTTCATGTTTGGAACTTTTTGCTTTAGTACAAATATTTTTTCTAACACTTTTTTTTCAACAGCTTCTATCGGTTTGTTCTGGAACCAGAATTAAATTATGGGATTAACAAACACCTTCCTTCTGAACCTGTGGCAAAATTCCTAGAATTGCCAGAATCGCCTCTTTTGACTCTAAACATGATCACTCCAGAAAGCTGGTTGGTTGAAGCAGTAAACAGTTCCTGTGATCTCGATAACATTCATTTACAGGAGGTAAGTAATAGTTTTTAAACACTATAAAACTTGTGTTGGACCTTGTACTTCAAGAGGGAAATGGAAATACTGTGAGATTTTTTTTTTGTATCTGTTCTCCAGAAATGTTTTCTTTGGTAGTTGATTATTTAGTCAGTATTTTACCATTTCTATTGTTATTTCTATTTCTTTTTTTCGTTTTCTCTTACTTAAAAAAAGAAAAAGACAAGCCTTAAAAGAAAGCAGTGAAACAGAAAAAAATCAGAATGCAGAGTACAAGTCAAGTCAATTTACCTGCTATGTTAAGCTTTATGTTTACAAAAATAAGTAAAGCAATTAAAGGATTCTTTATGGTAGCTTCCTAGTTCTTTTTTATTTTTATATATATTTTTGGTAGTAATAGGATTAACCGAGGTAAATCTTCAAATAAACCTGAATATATGACTGTTCTTTAATGTAGGTTAAAATGTATTTCACCCTCATTTAGTTCACAGTTCTTTTAATTATATTTTAATCCCTCTTCAAAGTCACTAGATTTGTTTTGGTCAGCAAGCTTATGCAAAATATTGAGGATGTTTGATTGACCAGAGCTGTGTATTTGGAAGGTGTATTGTGAAAATAAAAGTTGGGATTTACCTTACCAAAGCAGAGATACCTCAACTTCCTCAACAGTCAGTGGAGAGAAGGTGCCTCCAGACAGTGATCCTTCCTCTTAGTCTTGGATACCTGTTTTATAATTGAGTGAAGTTCCTTCTGGAAGGACCTTTCTGGGGTTTTTTGACTCTTGAATTAAGTTGGGGTAAATCCCATACAACATATTTGCCACTGTAATATGTTGCTTTTTCCCACACGGTTAAATGACGTAATGTAATGATGAAATGTTCCTTCCATAGGTAAAAGGGGCAGTTATAGCAGAATATGAACTGGAATATATATTGCTTGAAGGGCATTGCTTTGATGTGACAACTGGACAACCTCCTCGAGGGTTACAGTTCACTTTGGGCACAAAGAATAATCCTGTCGTGGTTGATACTATTGTGATGGCCAACCTTGTAAGTGTTAAGTACACGAATAGTCATTACAATTGCACACTCTGTGAGAATTCTTTATGAGCATCTTGTTCTTTAAATCCATTTCTCTGTGTTGCAAGCTTAGTAATGCTAAAAGTAACAGGCACATCCTGGAGTTGAGACCATCTTTAATTTGCTGAACTTTCCTCCTGCTCCTCTTCTGATCCTAGTATAGGTTTGGCTATGGCCTAATTTTAGACTCTAACCTGAAGTGCCTAAACTGGGAGCCTAATTACCTTTAGTAGATGGTAGGAGGTAGTTATACTGAGATGGAGATTCCACTGACAAATGTAAGGTATGATTCACATTCTGGTTAAAATAACCGGTTTTGTTACACAATGATCCAGGCAAAAGAAGGCTCCTATTTTAGACCCTTCAGGTAAGCACTTACAGCCTGTATGGGACATATCCACACTTCAGAATTCCTCTCATCATGCAAAGTAATTATTTTTTGGTTTGACAGTCTGTAGAGCAGAAGACCCTGTGGTTTCTGAAATGAAAGATTTGTTTCCTATTGGCTAAGGTAATTTGATAGGGAAGGATTTTGATGAATAAGACCTCTTACCCATCTACTGTTCTCTGTTCTTTGTAAATACTATATCACAAGGAATAAAATTATTAATAAACTATAAATCTTTGATTTTTACACAAATACTGAATACGGTTTCAACAGTAGATGATATTTGGCATGATGAAACTTTTAATGATTCCTCACATTTCAAAGCTTGCTCCACCTGACTTTCACACAGTGATAGCTATTTGCAGTGTTCCTAAAATGGAAAGGAGCTGTGTTGACACAGAAGGTTGTTCAGGACAAAAATTTTAAGTTTCAAAGAAGGTTTTCAATTTAGGGTCCGTTCAGTAATTTATTTCTTTACTGCTCACTTACTTGCTGTCCTTGATGGATTTTTTTGTATACAAGTCAAATTTGGTTAGAAATGAATGGAGCAGTGAAAAACATTATTATGGACATGCAGGAAAGGTGATAGTTGGTTGCATCACTGACACATTTCTTTTAGGGCTAGTATAAATGTTGGATAATTGATTTCTGTGTATGTAGATGGTTGAGTCTGAAATGCAGACGGAAGAAGTGCCTGTCTTTTTTTCGTAGGGATATTTTCAGCTGAAAGCAAATCCAGGCGCTTGGACACTGAGGTTGCGTAAAGGAAGATCTGAAGAGATTTATCAGGTTTTTTCGTAAGTATTAATCCATCATTTGGAAACACACTTATAAATGAATCTGAAAGTGCAACATATTTGGAAAAGATCTGACAATACTGAAGGAAAATGAGCAAAAATAGCATTACAAAAAAGAACAAGATGCAAACGATGATTTGAAGTTTGTAAGAGATACCTTATTTCCTAATAGTGTAAGTTGTTATTTGATGGCTTCATGTGGTTTTTTTTGAAGGCATTTGAATATATTAATGCGTAATAAACCTAAACTGCTCAGCTGGGCTTGATGCGAGCAAGGTCTCTTACTGTACAGTTACACAGCTACCAGACACTTGCTCTGTTAGTTCCATGCGTGGTTAACATTATCATACAACTGTTCACACCAAATTCTGTAGAAATGTCACTCATGGTTTTGTTGATTAATATTTTGACATTCCCAACATATTGAATATGTAATTCCAAGAATATGTCAAGTGGATCGTGCTAGCACTCCAGCAGTGTCTTTATCAGCTGGAGGAAGTACCACAAATTTCCCTCTCATCATTTTTTTTCAGTCCTGAGGGTGCCTTTGAATGCAGACTTATTGATAGGAGGCATCTTTTTTTTTGTATAGGATTATTATATTCATTTCTAGACTTTTTTTCTTCAATTAATTCTGAGTGTTTCTTAGTTGTCTAAGTCATCTAAGAATCATCATTTTGGTTTACACCTTCACCTTAAAATGTAGAAACACCCTTCAATTCGAGACCCTGGCTGCATGTTGAGTGCACCACATTTCCCTCTCTTGGGAGAAACCTTTGTATATGGAAAGAAAGTTGTACTCCTGTAAATGACATATAGTTGGCATCTCTATAGCTTCTAAATCCGTAATTTCCATGGTTGATTTTCATATAAAGCAAGATATGCTAGCCGTCATTCCAACTATTCCTTGAAAGAATCATCTTTTTCTCATGTTTTATGTAACAGCACGGATCTGTAGCATATGAGGGCTTCCTCTTGAAGTTTTAGATCAAATGCCTTCTAGAGGAGCAGTATTGTTTTATTTTATTTCAACTTCAGTTCTTCGTTCCTTTTTTTTTTCCCCCTTATCTCTCTTCTCCTTCAGTGTAATTCTGTGACCTGAAACAAGCCTACGTCCTATGAAATATTTCTTATTGGAGCTCAGGAATACATAGTTCCGTATGTTGTTATTCATCAGCTACTATTTAAAAAATTAAAAAACTTGATTAACCTCTTTATGGTTATGAATATTTAGTTAATACATCAATTTCAGTGTTACAGGGAGAAATCTTAATGGAATGTTAGGTTCATTCTATTTGTTTACAGTTTTCAATTTTTTTTTTCCCCAGAAACCACTCGCAATCTGTTGAAAAAACAGAAAAGCATAGTCTTTACCCTAAGAAGATCACTTAATCTCCACCCACTGTGGCTATATCATTTGTCTAATTTAGCATTCAATTCTTAAGATATAAAAAGTGATTTATGTAAGATGACATGGTTAAAAGAATAATGTAGTGAGGTGTAGTTGAATTAGAAAATTAAACAAAATGAAACAAAACCATTCTACATTTTAGGCTGCATCAAAGGAAACTTTTTTGTTTCCTTTTGTAAGGATTACTGATTTTGTAAGATTACTGATTTGTAAGATTACTGATTTTCCCTAAGAAGAAATACAAATGGGCTTAACTGAGCTCAGCTAAGTCAGGAAAACTAATACTTGATTAGGAATCTAAACAGTAGCATTTATTTCATTTAATTATTACATGCCATGTAATAATTACATGCTTAGGGTACAACTGCAAAAGTATGTTTGGGAGGCCGTACCAGGATCTTTGGTATTTCTTTTACAGGTATCAGTATTATTAGTATGAAATTGCTATCAGAACTCAGGCAACTATTTGATAGGATGGAATTTTGCCAAGAGGTATTGCAGTATATTTTCCATCCTCATATGTTAGTAATGTCCTCTCCTGTTGAAATGTGAGATGATCTGTTTTCTTTGAGGCACAGGCCCGTACATTATAATAGCAGCTTTAGGAGAAATACAGGAATTTGAAGTCACAGCACTTTCTACATCTCAATGCTTATTTGCTTCTCCTGTAGTTGCATCTAATAGACATGCAAGTAATTTATTTTTACTTTCTGTAAATACACAGCGCTTGAAAAAGATGCCTCTGTTTTCTTGAACACTGCTTCTAACAAGGATCATTATTTTGAAGCAGTCACAATGTTATTAATAAATTACTATGAATATTAGTAAAATGAAAATTATTGTACCCAGCAATAGTCTGAGCACTGCTTATTATTGAAACTTTGATTCTGTGAAGTTGGTGGAAAAACAAGCAAGTATTACAAGAGAAGGCTGCAGAAAGTAGTTTATATCTAAAGATATATATACACAATCCTGCTGAAGACCTCATTTTTTAAAATGGCAGGTAGATATAATTTATTAGACTTTGATGCAGACTGCATAGCTGAAAGTTATATCTTTTATAATTTGGCCAAGGAGTTTTTCTGTTTGTTCCTTTAAGGGTCTCCATTTGTTGAACTTGAATGCTTTTGTTCCCCATATGGAAAATTATAATTTATATTATATTGATACTTATTTGTATTTATATTAAAAGCACCTAAGTGTTTTGAAACATTTTCAAGTGACATAAGTAGTCTGCTAGAGAAGTTTAGCTTTGTACAGCAATTATATAACAACAAAGTAGTTTTTGTTACATATGTTATAGTGCTGCCAGTATACGAGACATTTTGCTTGCATTTAAAAAGGTTGTTCATACTGACAGAAATTCATCAAACTGAGGGCTGTGCAGAGTGAAACAGTTGGCACTCAGTAAAGATGGAGCCCATAGTGAGGGATCCACAAAAGAGATTTAGGGAGACAAAACAGTGTTGTTAAATTTACATCCAAACCAAACACTTTGAGAATATTGTAAACATTTTGGAAAAACATCTCTTTCATCAGAGCTGCAGAGCCACCAACAGAATTCATAGCATAGAGATTTTGAGGTAACTGAATGAATAAGAGAGAAGATTTTGGTTGTGTAAAAACTGAGGGCAAAAATGGGAACACTGGGCTGGCTGCTGCTGTCAGCAGTTTGTGTTTGGATCTAGTTGTACTATTTTAAAGTTTTTTAATGGCACAGTTTATTTAAAATGCAGAACTGTGCCTGTTGACTGCTTTAGGTCCCTGTGATAAGAAGATCATTGTTGACTGAGTGTGCATAAATGCAGTATTTTAAAAGTGTGAACATACTACTAAATCACAGTAAAAAAGTCAAGATAATCCTGAACATTGTTTTGTGCAAGAATAGGCCATTTCTATGAAACTAGGTGATCATAGGCCCACAAAAATGTATTAAATAGAAAATTCATATAACTGTATAAAATGAAAGAGATTGAAACAAGATCTAAATACTTCTGTTTTCTAGGGGGAACAATGATGCCTAAGGGATAGCAGATTACTTTCTTTAACCCATTTTTTGTAGACACAGCCTTAGCAAGAGGAAACCACATAGTACTGTTAAAAGACAGAAAAGATTGAAGGAAAAATATATGGGCTACTGAGGTATAAAAGCTTGAAAAATTAATAATTATGTTATTGTACTGTATCTCAGAGTGACAGCAACATTTTTATACTTGTTACTCAGTGGACTGCAGTACAGTTTTGAGATGCCTGAATGGTTTAAGCTGATGTTCAGTGGGGCATATGTTCATGAGGTGCTTGCACAGCCATGTCTTTAGGGGTACAGTTTCCAAAGCTAACTAGTTGAAAGCCAATCTTTACTATCTTAGCACTGTGATGAAGCTTTCCCTATACTTTTTAAAGCAGGTTTATTTTAAAAGTACATTTAATGCCATTGCACAGCAATTTCTAAGATATTTTCCATATTTGAAAAATAAATTTTAGTTCAGTGTTTGAATGTAGTATATACCTGTTTAATACATAATAGCATGTTCAGCTCCAAGTTGCTGCATTATTTCATTGATTGATAAATTTCCCTGTGAAAATCCAGATTAAAAAGCGAGGGCTACCACTGTGGACAATGTCTAGTGATGCTTAAAACTCAGAAAGTTTATGAAGTTAAAATACAGTTAGGTGAAACTGAAGAAATTTTGTTTCTATAAATAACAACAATTCTAAACCTTACACTCTAATTAAATGCAAGTAACAATGCATGTTTTAATGAGACAGTACCTTTGCATGGGTTCTTTTTCTCCTCACAGCCATGAAGGAACAGATTCTGTTGCTGACCTGACAGACATTATTGTGGTATTAAACAACTTCAGAAGCAAAATTATCAAAGTTCAAGTATGTATGCAGCATTTCCTTATATGAAATGTGGCTTATGCTTACATGTCTTAGGCTATATTTAATTGAAAGGTGTATACTGAAATATATAATTAGATTTTGTGTAATTAAAGAGAAGGATGTGCAAATTAATGTAGTTAATTTGCTCCAATCAGGTTATACTAATTGCATGGGTGATTGTTAAATAGCGGTTAAACATAGATAAGATTTATCTCATCTAGCTCAAGGTGTCCAAATGTGTAGTCTAGATGACTTAAATTCCCTCTATGCGTAACAGAATAAGAGAGAGTCCAAAGGTCTACTAATCCCAGCTTATATATGTATTTAAACCAGCAACATGAGCATCTCTTGAGACATTCATTTCTCTCCAGTGATGAGAGAGGGATTTTTTATGAAGTCCAGATACCAAAGTGGAAGTTAAAATTAGGTGTATTGAATTTTACCCTAAGCTACCAAATTTGTGTAAGTGAAATTACGTTACTTTCATTCTTAAAACTGCATCAAAAAGAGCTAATTAAGCATGAGTTATATTCAGGAGAAAGAGCCTCATAGTATTATATGTTTTCCTCTGTTTTGTAAATAATATTTTGTGTAGATTTCCTTGGTATGTTGTATCCTAATTTTAGACATCGAGAAGGAGAGTGAACAATGTAAATGTAAGTACAAGAGGAATTTTTAAAACCGCAGACATGTGTCTCTTCCCCAGTCCTGTAACTGAAAGTTTCCAGAACCCAGAGAAAATGTGTAAAACTCTGGAACATGATGAGCCTACCTTTAAACCACAGAAAAAGGATAAAAGGGTGCCATTTGGGTTAAAATATGAAAATTATTTGATGCGAGAGGTGGCATGTATTAAGCTTATAGCTAGAATATGTAAGGTCTGTCATTCAGCTGAACTGCAGAATCACTTCAGTGATGTGTAGGATGGGGCTTCAGGACCATTAGCTAAAAAGACTCGTGATGTAGTGTGAACAGAAATCTGTAAGCATTGGCTTGACAGTATGATCATGTGAAATTAATATGATTAGAATTGAGTATGTTCAGACATTGAGGGTTTTAGAAGCTATTTGGTTTTCAAAAGCAATTAGGTTTATTTTAATCAAGGAAATTAAAGCAGCAGATGAAATTGATTTGGAGTCTTTATTATGCACCTGGATAAGACAGCAGAAATTGCTTAAGTTGTGTGGGAGAGCTTATGTTTCAGTGACAAATTTGTCACTTTCTCCTTGTGAAGGGCTTATGAGAATGACAATTTCCCTTCAGGTAAGTTCCACTGTGTGGTGCAACACCCTGCTACACTTCTGCCAGCTAATGGCTGGATCACGAACTTGTGAGTGTAGAAAATGAGGTAGAATTCCCCACACTTGTAGTTAGTGTTTGCATAAAGAAGTACAGAGGGCTTGAACATGCTGTTTGATTTATTAATCACCATTTAATACAGCGAGTTCTGTACATAGTTTAAAAGTATGTAGTTCAATGCAGTTCAGTAAGTATTTTACTGAAGTAGAAATTGGTCCAGATGTTGATCCAGCTCTAGCCAGTTACTACAGCATAGTTAGATATCACAGTTGAAGTAGTAATTACTATCAACCAACTTCCTAAATTACACAAAGACATTTATTTTACTGACTAGGTACAGAAAAAGCCTGATAAAATGAATGAAGATCTCCTTACAGATGGAACAGGAAAATATGGAAATCTGGAATCAGTTACAAGGTAATGCATAATTTGCTTCCAGTTTAGCTGTTCCAGCACATGTTTATTATTACTCACAGCAAGTAAGTGTCTCCTACTTGATAGTGATATGTAATATGTAAAAAGGCTATTCAAGGGATTTATAATAATAAATACAAGGAGGGGAAAGAAAAGCTACAATGTCTTGTACCTCTCCTTACTTCCTTTTTTAATCCTTCTTTTGCATTTCTAGTTCCTGTTCATTTCCCCCACTGGTTTTTTATTTTTTTGGGGTAGGGAATCAATCTCAATGTGAAAATCCCAGCCAGTTATGTGGTACTCAGATACGTGAAAATAAACATCAAAAAAGCAGGCCGATGGTGCTTGTCTGCTGCTAAACTTTATTTATGAAATCTCAAGAAATGTTTTTATATGTCAATAAAATACCTTTTACTTTAAAGTCTGAGTTCTATAAGTAAGTGCAATAAACATCTCAAGCTTTACATTTGGGGCTAATAACATTGTAGTATTTCCAATTTGCTGTTTTAAGCAAGACTCAGAAAAGGTTTTCTTCCATTTTCAGTAGCTTTGGCAATGGTTCTCAGGTGCAGACTGTTAATGAAAATAAAAAGAAGGCATAGCAGTTCTACTTTATCTAATAAAAAGTTGACCCCAGTTAATCCTCAAACACACATCTCTTGGTAGATCCAAGGCTGGGTTCTGTTTCAGCCTTATCATCTCTCTTGAAAAGACCTCTTGTACCACAAGTACCTGGACATTATATTGAGTCTCCGTTGCTGATGTTATGTTTATCACCATTTATCCACAGATGATTTTACTCGTACAGTATCACAGAATCATAGAATGGTATGGGTAGGAGGGAACCCTAAAGATCATCTAGTTCCAACCCCCCACCATGTGCAAGGACATCTTACACTAGATCAAGTGGCTCAAGGACTTATCCAACGTGGCTTTGAACACTGCCAGGTTGGGGGATCCACAACCTCCCTGGGCAGCCTGTTGCAGGATCTCATCACCCTCACAGTAAAGAATTTCTTCCTAATATCTAACCTAAATTTCCCCTCTTTCAATTTATACCCATATCGACTAGATTCAGAAACCCTCCCAGACTACTATACTACAACTCTCAAAAATTTTTTCGTGAAGTCACAGGTCAAGGAAGTGGACCAACATTTCTGCACAAAGGTGTCTCTTTTCAGAAGGATGTTAGATAAAGGAGTTTTTCATCATCTTCAAGCTTCCCACTTCTAATTGGCTGCATCAAAGGATGTATGTGCGGTGATCAAGATCTTAGCTTCCTCTAACAAGGTTACGAGGCCAGAGATCTCCCAATCTTTCAGGTCTTGCCTTTTACCACAGTTGGTCGGTTCATCAGTGTGCATCAGGCTCAGAGCTTAGCTGGGCAATTGAAGCCCCTCACTCAATAAGTTTATTTCTTCTTCCCATTGATTCAAAGTTGTGGCTCAAGGGCACGATGTGAGGCCTGCCCTTTCTGTCAGCCTCTTGCTACCTAGGAACTTGTCAAATATCCTTCCTCTTTGTTATCCCAGAATGAAAAGAATATCACCAGCACATTACTCATTAGAGGAAATCACATGTGCTCTGACATGGGACACATGCATACAATTGCCCAAGTCCTTTCATAACTGAGCAGCCCTTTCCCAATTGACTGCTTTTCCCATGTGACCTTACAGGTCAGTCCAGCAGCTTGTTCAATTTGGAAGATCTCTGCCTTTTTGTAGATCTTTTCATAATCAATATTTTCAAGATCCTTTTATGAAAACCTGATTTTATTTTTTTTCACATGATGGTTGCATTATAAAGACCTTGAGAGTCTTTTGGTCCTGCTGTCACTACGATAAGAAACAAGATAAAAAGTCAAGAAGAAGGAAGACTGACTGCTTGGGACTGTGAGCTGCAATCTGTTTAACCTGTGAAAGTTCGGTGCTAGTTGGGAGGTTGTCATCTTTAGAGATGCCATACAGTGCAGTCAGTGCTGCTCCACTGACTTTCTTCTGCATTTGCTATAGTCCTGAACAGGTACAACTGTGCTCTTACCATGGCTGAGTGAAAAGAATGTGAATAATCTTTCTCAAAAAGATCATTCATATGACTTACGTTGCAGCCTTTAGGATTTCAGCATTATATTTGTGGAGTGATATGAACTCTTTTGAATATGTTGGAGATCTGAGACTTGTCTCATTTGTTCTTAAAGATTATGAGGGATACTTCTTTTTTACTTTCTAAAGGCTACTTTAAAAAGGGATGTAACCAGAAGAAAAGTTAATAGGAGTAACTCATGCAATCTAAGTGTGTGAAGAATGACTCACCTCAAAAAAAAAAAGACTACTGAGGTGAATTTCCAACAATATCAAGCCATACTGTAACGAATTTGGGTAAGGCAGCCTTTGCAGTTCTGAGGTCAATGAAGCAGTGCTTGAGGAAGACTGCAGCCATTACATTCTGGCTGTGTGTGCTGGAAGGCATACATGGTGAAAAACCAATCCTGGTAGACTTTGGTATTCAAAATGAGCAAAAAATGCTGTGCAGCAGAAATAGAAAACATCTGGACAATGTACCTCAAATATATAGGTTAGCTTATAGGGAGAGTAACTGGATTAATTTAAGGAAGAATTCAGCGAGTATTATGAAAACCACTCAGGAAATCCTATCATCACAGACCACTCAATGTTATGAGGGTATTCTGGGAAAGGCTACTACTCCTCAGGCTTGCCATTTGCTGTTGGGATGGTAGTGAGTTAAATATGTGATTTGATTTGGTGTGACCATCTTTGTATTATGTTCAGTCTGTATTTTAGGGAATATATTCAGCTCAACCACCTATGAGGACTATTGCAGGCATTCTTCACCCCAAGAACATGGATTGGTTGTTCTGATGTAGAATGCATGTGGATGAGCAATGGAAAATAACTGGGTTTTAATTTAAAAACTACCAGTTCTCAAGATGATATGGCTGTGTGTATTTCTGATTATTTTTACTCTGATAAAATGTGGAGTTCTTGTCAAATTTGAGTTCTGTTTGATTGAAAATACTGGAGGCTGCAGTCGTACCATTGCTTGTCCTGAGTGACTGGGTATGAGATGTTGCTCCCAAAAGATTTTGGTATCGTAGGCATGTACAGTGGGAGTGTATTTGGTTACTATAGGATAAGTATTTCTTTTGTGTATTTTCTTACTTTTGATTCTTTATGAGCTTAATGATAATTTGGTATTTTTTTTTCTGCTGAATGTTTACTTTATATAATAATTCATAATAATTTTTAGATTTTCAGAAGAAATTCCAACAGAAGAGAAGGAAAAGAAAAGTGATATTCTTAACATTTTTTCTGTTGCTTCAGGCCATTTATATGAACGTTTTTTAAGGTAAGGAAAGGTAAAAGGGAAACAAGAATTTCTTCTCAATACACTAAATTTTCATACTAGCACTAAGCAGCTTAAAGAAACTGATTTTTTGAACAAAATAAAAATAATAAATTGCCAATACATAGAAAGGTTGTATACAATGAGGACTGTATTACTCTTTGCTTTAACAACAAAGTGATTCAACATACAAATGTTCAAAAGTACCATTATTCTTTGAAGACAGAAAAATGCTCTCCTTGTCTTTCATGTGTGAAATACAAACATAAAAGATGAAGTTCAGCCTCTCTGTATAAAGATGTAACAGAAGTGACTTCATAATCTTGTATCTAGAATTGTATCTATTTGTGTTTAGTCCAAACCACGGGTTTACTATGTGCACATGTGGTTACATAAGTTAATATAAGGTATTAATCATTATTCTAATTTTGTCAGGCGTTCTCTGAGAATAAAACTTGTTAATAGATCCACTTTTGAAATTGTTCCTTCTACTGTTGCTTAGCCAATGTGAATCAAATAAGTCCATCTCAAAACAGTGTTGAACACATGCTCTTTAAAGCTTTTAATTAGAAATAGATAGAAAATTCTGCTTAAGTTGGGTAAAAGAAAATTATACTTAGAAAGTTTTAACACTTTTTAAGTGCAGTTGTAATGTAATGACCTGTGTGTATTTGTTTGTTTATTATAGACTTATATTTCCACAGAATTATGATGCTTTCTGTCCTACGTCATACAAAAACACCAGTTAAATTTTGGTTTCTGAAAAACTACCTCTCCCCTACATTTAAGGTAGGAGAAAAGTCTTTCTTTTATTATTTTTTTTCTTTAAAATTTTAAATAATTTTTTTAAAATTACAATTGAGTAACTGTATAATTCAAATTAAATTTTCACAGTGGAAAATGATCTCTGAGTGGATTAAATAGTTTTAAATACTAATAGTTTTAAATGTTAATAGTTTTAAAAGTATTCTGTATAAGATTCTTCTCTTGTGGAATGCAAAGCTCAGTGATAAATTATAATAATTTATTCTCTTCTGCTAGTCTCCAAGAGCTTGCATAAAATGTTTTTACTACTGGTGTAGCTGAGGATACTGCTAAACCTAAAGAAACATTTCAGAGTAATAAACTGTGTAGTCAGTAAGGCCAATACAGCTACAACTGTTTTGCACCACTCAGTCTTTTTCCTTTTGAGTCCTTCTGTGTCCCATATACGTGCACCGAATAGTTTTTTTTGTTTTTCTTCTAGGATGTTATTCCTCACATGGCTAAAAAGTATGGTTTCAGCTATGAGTTAGTACAGTATAAGTGGCCCCGCTGGCTTTATCAACAGACAGAAAAACAGAGAATTATCTGGGGCTACAAAATTCTTTTCTTGGATGTTCTTTTCCCTTTGGCTGTGGATAAAATAATATTTGTCGATGCTGACCAGGTAAGAAAAAATAATAGTATATAAATAAATGTATGAGGAATTCATATGGGCTTAAATTGATGCAGTCTCATCCCCTATGGTCATTTATTCAGACGTTGGTCTTGTAAGAATACTGCAGCTGTATGAACAGAACCAGTGGTGTTGCAGAATGTGAAATGCAATAATTTCACTTGTCTTTAGTCATGTGGACATTGAGTCTCACTACACTGAGTTGTCCTAAATTGTCTGTAGAGAGAGAAAGGCACCCGGAGAGGTGAGTGTGATCTTAAACAGGCCTTTCACTGAAACTGTATTGGAGTGAATCAGTCTCTGGACTGATTGTGAGAGGACTTCTCCACTGTGCAAGGAGTCTGAGGGGATTAGTTTGGACCATTTGAACAACTTCGAGATGGCTGAAATTTGTCAAGATTAATCTTGTCTCTATTTTAAATTTGTATGCAGTCTTTCACTGAGGAATGAGTATTGTATAATATACTGAAAGACAAAATGCTGTCTCCAAGAGATGAGGCATTGAAAAGTCTATCACAAGGTTGTTAAAAAGGTCAGGACAAGTATTAATGTATTTTGGTCCTTTTCCAAAGCTTGAGAATAAATTGAATTTAGGTGTAGTAATGCAGACTGCAACTGTCTGCAGTTTCATCTGGATGCACCATCTGGTAACACTGGTTGTCTGTCCTCACAGCTGTAAGGATTTCTCTCTACACCCAAATAGCTAAAACTTTTTTTTACCACTGATAAATTAGATGGAGAAAGATTGAACAGTAAATAAAGGACATTTGTAAAATGTCATTATAACCTATTTTTAAAAGTACTTTATCACTCGATACAAAGATTTTTCAAATGATGCAATAATTTTGGAATACCAAGTTAGGTAACAAATAGGAAGGATTCTGTAAAAGGGACATGCTTGGTAGATTTTAGAAGTTATGCTTTTTCATTAAGGAATTTAGTCTTGGGCAACCAGAAACACTGATCTATGAATTAAAAAATATTGTGCCTGGTTTATTTAATTTACTTATTAAATGTGTTACACAGATGAGCATTGTTAATAAGATAATAAACACTTCTTTTTAACTTGAAGAATAATTTGGTAAATATCTTCCAGTGGAATATTTTATCTATACTCTGCTGTCGTAGTGTCTCAGTTTTTTTTTTAATCTAAAATAAAACTTTGTGAAACTTGCTGCAATACCTACCCTCATATGCATACCTTAGAAACAGTACTAAATTGTAGAAATAACTATATTCTTATTTAGATTGTGAGAAGTGACCTGAAAGAACTCAGAGATCTAGATCTAAATGGAGCTCCCTATGGATACACACCTTTCTGTGACAGCCGTAAGGAAATGGATGGGTACCGTTTCTGGAAATCAGGATACTGGGCATCACATCTTGGGAAAAGGAAATACCATATTAGGTAGGATAACATATTTTTGTGCAGTGTGTGCATTTAATTGAAATCTGGGTCTTGATATTGATCACCGAGGCTTTCAAAACCAATTGCCCTCCAGTCGTTCTCAGCAAGAGATGAATAAGGCATGAATTCTGATGACATATTGATTTCACTTTTCTGTTGTAGCTTTAGCCACTTAATTAAGAAAAATATGCCTTCAGGATGGGAACATGTTTTAGTTTCTTGTTACTTTTATTAATATTATCAAAAAGAAGGTGAAACTCCACAACTTAATTTTTTTTTTTAAACTTTTTAGTGCCTTATATGTTGTGGATCTGAAGACGTTCAGAAAGATTGCAGCTGGAGACAGGCTTCGGGGCCAGTACCAGGCTCTTAGTCAAGATCCAAACAGTCTGTCAAATCTAGATCAGGTATAAATGGCTTTAAGCAATTTGGGGTTTATTTTCTTTATCTTTCTCAAATTGCATGGAATTGTTGTGTAGCTCAATGTGTATGTTATATAATTGTAAAACTATTTGCCATGTACTGCTGTTTTAGCACATTTTAAGTTGTGCATGTGAGCACAGTTCAGAGAACTGAACACTAAATGATTATTGTTTTAAATAATTGTTTAATATGAAAGAAATGAGGAAAAAACAACATAGAGAACTGTTCACCTTTATTCTGATAATGGTAATTATATTCTTATTTGGCAAGAGCTTTTTCCTTTTTCTTCTTTTTTTTTTCATCAATGTAAATTTATTTTTTTTTTGTAAGCTAACTGCAAAGGCACTCTGGTGGTTGCTGTACATCATCACCCTGTGCTGGCTCTAGTCTTTATTTATGTAATTCCAACAATTTTTAAACCCAAATGAGGTACATCAGGGTGCAGTCACAAGCATGTAAGTGGATCCCATGTAAACATAACATACTTAAATTTATTACTTTTTTCCTGTAATAGAGGTTATTTAAATTGATAGAAGATGGATAGTAAACAGCTCATCACATTTCTCTCTGAGTCAATACTTATTTATGTCTCACTTTGGGTGAACTGCAGAAGGCTTCATAAGTGACATTGTCCCTGCTTTATTTGTTTTCCTCGTGGAATTCCTAAAGCACAAAAGGTTTTTACCTGCCTATAGCAGCAAAGGGATCCCACGGTAGCAAAGCCTACATCTCTCAGTGCCTACTTTCCACCCCCCTGCTCTGCAAGCAAATTTTTCTCTCTTACATAAGGACGTTATTGCCACTTGCTTTTTTTTTTTTCCAGAAATAAAAGTAAAAATTGAAAATAGCAGTTCTTATAATACTGGACAAAGAAAAGTGGAAATACAGCTACACTAAAAACTCAGAGTAGACTGGACACAGGGAGTTGGAGCAGCCTTTAGCTGTAATTGTTAAGAGCAAAAGACTGACATAACAGCAACACCCATATTTCACTTCTCTTTTTCTGGACAATGGAATGAATTGGTGTCCCTGTATCACACTTAGTCCTGATAGGATGTAGCTGTATGTTCTCCAAACATAGTCTTACCCATATGTGCAAGTTGTCTTTCACAAAGACCTTTAAAGATTCTGGGTACAGAGCTTCCACTATAATGCTGATTTTCAGAAATAGTAATGAGATTTATCTAATGTTCTCAAAATGTTAAAAATGTGTCTCTTTCTATTTTAAGATTCTTATATTTTCAATTACAGCATTAATACATGGTGGCATATATCTCTTATAATTCTTGACTCAAATAAAAAACCACTTAAGGAGCAGATGTTAAGGTAGCTAAAGCTTGGCAGAAAGGAATTGGAATTAGTTGGAAAAATATTTCAAAGTAATATGTTCGTACTAATCTGGTTTCTGACTGTATTGATAGGAACTACTTTCTGTCTTAATTGCTACTACTTACACAAAATACAGCAATATTCCTAGAAATACAAACCACAGTGCAATGTATTTGAGTCCTGGAGAGCTTTCATCTACTGATAAGGATGCATTGTGATCTTTTTATTACTATTTTTATTTTAAATACCTGACTGGAGTGCTCACTGCTCTTCTCAAAGAAGAAGCAATCTCAGCTCTTTGCTAATCTGCCAGCACTGCTGCCTTCATGGGTGGTAGTTAAGGTTATGCTAATATAAACCACAAAAGAGAAGTAGATGGAAGGGAAAATTGTGATTTTAAATGCCAAGGAGAGTGAGTATAGAACTCCTAGGGAGAAAAATTACACATCATAAAAAATAGACTTCCAATACAGTAATTTTGTTTAGATTTTTTTTTTTTAATTCATTCTTTTCTTCTGTTTACTTTAAATCCTGGCACTAGCAACTGACTTTCTGCCCCATGTAACAATTTGTAAATTCACAACTCAGGAATTGTAGTAACTCAGGAATTGTGATTTCATTTACAAAGTCAAAGAGACACAACAGAAAACTAGTCTCTCTTCTTTTGAAATTGAGATGGTGATAAACCATTTTTTAATCTTCAAAAAAATTGTAGAATTTAAGTTTTTCAAAAATTAAAGCATTTCACTGTTTAATGTCTTGGCTCTCAATTTACATTTGAATATCTATATTTGAAATAAATTACGTCTTTCATAACGCAGCAATATGTGCTGTTTTATTCTGTCACATTTGGCAACATGAATTGGCAAAATAAGATGTGACTAATACTTATCACAGTACTGACATTTATTTCAAAGTATAATGTAGGGGTTGCACATGTGAGGGAGCTCACAAATGGATCTGCCAATTACACCTATTATTTTTAACTATGGCCAGTGAATGACTGCCTGAGGTTTTTCTGATTTGTCAGTGCTGCTCCCTACATTCAGCAAGATCTTCATTTGGAGTTTTCTTGATGAGAGTACCTGACTGCATAGTACAGGTTAAAAAAAAAAAAAAAGTAAAGTAAGGAGGGTAGCTGGAATAGCAGTTTAATAGCTTTTCCTTCTCACACTCATGTTTCTGGAATCCATTTTCCTAGAAGTCGTCTAAATTTAGAGTAGTGGTGTAATCCTGCATTATATGGTTTTTGAGGGATATTTTTTTCAAATTTAAGGAATGGAGAGATGGTTGAAGTTTTGCTCTTTAGCAGTATTTATGGTATGACATGCAGTACCACAAGTCTGAACCACGAGTATCAGGCAGAAGTATTGTTATGTCAAGCTAAGGAAAGACAGATGTAAGTACAAGAAAAAAATTGCTTTGTAAATGAGAGGTGGAATTGGCATCAAAATGAGCATGACTAAGTTTTGAATCTACTTGAAAAAGAACTAGGTGAGCACTAAGAAGGAAATGTAAGAAGAAAATGTAAGAGTAATAGGCAAAGATTCTACTTTTAAGTAGCTGCTTGATAACCAATTACATTACATTCAATGCTAATTTATGATTTTACAAAATTTGTACAGGATCTCCCCAATAACATGATTCATCAAGTAGCCATTAAGTCTCTCCCTCAGGAGTGGCTTTGGTGTGAAACCTGGTGTGATGATCAGTCCAAGAAAAAGGCTAAAACAATAGACTTGGTGAGTTGATCCTGACTTGAATTAGTTTTATAGATTAACAACTTTGCTGTGATTTCTGTGGCTTTTGAGATAAATATATGTCATGTCATGAAGGCAACCTTGATGGAAGGCACTGGAACACTCAGTCCTTTTCCTCTCCTGGTTGTTCTTACAAATGTCTTACATTAAAGCTGAAAACTGTACCAAAAAATTAAGTGTTGCTGTCTCTTAACTGGACAAGATTGAGGCTTTTCACGCCCATACATGTATTTTCCTAATAATTTTTCCATACTCAGCCTGGTTTCTAGAGCTGTGATGAAGTGCTGTTAACGCTCTGGGCATTGTGTGCTGCTGTTGCACTCCCTACATAGAAGGTTCCTCCAGAACTCGATGATTATAGGACTTAATATTATTATGGTTTCTTTGTCTATTTCATCACTATAAACAGGAGATAAAGCAAAGCTTAAAAAGTGTAATGTTCAGGGGATTATCCATGTCTAGAAAGAAGAAAGTGTCTTTCTTTGGGAATAGAAACAGAAAGAGAAAATCTTCCTCTCTCATTATTAAACCCCATCCCACCCTCTTTCAGTCCCCATTATCATGTATCACTTGATACTGAGATTTCCATTTATATTATTTTATGGAAGTAGTCAATACATTTTTCTAGACAACATTAGAGGAAGCATCACAAATGTAATAAAAAAACCTTTATCAGATTCAACCTCAGTGTGCCAATGTATATCTTGCATCTCCCCATGTAACTTTGTCTAAATGTTAGTAGTCTTGTCCTGGCCATCTCTGTGCTATACATATAGTCAGGAGCAGGGGGAAAAGGAAAAGTATTTACAATTATATGTTGTGAGTTATTTGAATTATTTGAACAGGATTTATTTACAATTTTAGTGTCATTTTTTTAATAATAATGTCCAAGTGACTGACCTTGCATGTTTCAATGACGTTGCAAATGCTGACAAAATTATTTGAGCTAAGTTCTCTGAGGAGATGTTATTTTCACATTCGCTTTGTTTACATCTAATATGTTTTAAACTTTCAGTGCAACAATCCCCAAACCAAAGAACCAAAATTAGAGGCTGCTGCCCGGATAGTTCCTGAATGGGTTGACTACGACTCTGAGATACGAAAGTTAATACAGCAAATTGAAAAAGAGAAGAAAAATCTAACATCGTTATTTCAAAAAGGTAATTTACGTGCATATTCATCTGTTAGCTTTTAAAAATTAAATATTAATATAGTTGAAATTAAGATTGCAGTCAGTAAGCACAAATCTTTTATTTGTGTAATTTTCCCTGTTCTTAGAGAAATTGTGTGGGTTTTTATGGTTGTGTTATGCTTCTTTACATAAGAGTTACACTGAGAGGATAAAATCTTTTGTTTCGTGCCAGAATCTAAGAGAAGGTTTTGTGGTGTCCTGTTCTTGGACCTCAAACACAACCATCACATGTCATTTGAGGCACAAATATTAAATAAAGCATATTAGCTTAGATGTCACTTAGATAACCTAAAGCTCATGTCAGTTAAGCAGTAGGTAACTCAGTCTCTATTTTTCTCCAGGCTCATGTATGCAGAGCCTTTTTGCACCAGACTAAATTGTGGTTTAGGCTACGAATAGAGTTTAGCTTATTTATTTACTAATGTGTTTAAACTGAGTTTGTTAAATAGCATGAGAAAAACATCCAACCAACCAACAACAAAAACAAAAAACCCCACAAAACCCCCAAACAAACAAACACACTTATAGAACTTCTAATAAGACTTCTTGGAGTAATGTGAAACAAAACAAAAGAAAAAGATGATCTCAGCCCTTAAGGTTGAAGAAAAAACTTGGCAGATATATATTTAAAAGTCTTGAGTCAAGGCACAAATTCACTTTCACTTATAAAGAATTCTTAGTGGTTTTTATTCTTTGTGAAAACTTATGCTCAACTTTTAGCAAGGCTCCAAAAATGAAGTTCATGTTGCATGACTGACTAGCAGCAAATGGAAAGTAAAGGGCTTTCGTCACATTTTACAGAACTGTCTTTATCTAACTTGTTTTTATAATTTTTTTTTCCCTTTGGTTACAGGTCTTAAACATGATGAACTTTAGCACAGCCCTTGAACAACAATGGTGACAACTCAATAGTCTTTGGGAAAAGACTGAAGGGGAGTTACAAATGTTACAATGGCACTATTTGCAACATTCTTTAATGTTAAGTCAAATATTTTATAACTTATAGTGTTATTTAAAACATTTTAAATGCAGTACAAAACCGAGAAATCCACAGGTACTTGGGGTTGTGGCTTTTTTTACCCAGTATGGAGTTTGGTTTTCTTTTCCTTCTTTAAAGTACAGTTTGCCCAGAGGATTTTAGAATATGAAGAAAGAGGTGTTCAGCTTCTCAAAGATACGTTGTCAGTCTGGGGGAGGACCATACACATTAAATATGTACATGAAAACTGGTTTGTGCATATTACATGCATTAAGTTTATGTATTAAAACATCAAGAGTTTTGGTTATATGTCTATAGTTTTGTCCCTGGAGAACTGCTGTGGTCACAAGAAAGAATCTCAGTGTAGCAAAGATAAGACACAGAAAATAACTTTAGTAATTTAGACCACACAAAGATAAGTCAACTTGGAAGCTAAAAACAAGGAATGACACTTTTCATTTATTGTGCAGGATTGCTGCACTCTTACAAATTTTAAAAACTAAGTTTTGATTCTTAGGCTCCTTTTGGTCACTTAAATAGTGTGTCATAAAATTCCATTATGACTTTGGTTAAGGTGGTTTTCCAACCAGCACACATTGCATCAGAAGGTCAGTACCTGAAAGCTGTTTCTACTTGGTTTTGATTATCATCATCCTGTTTAAAACTGAAAATAAAATAATAAAATATGTGAGTATTTTTGATTATCAGTGGTGTTTCCTCTAATTTTCTAAGTCTGTACTCACAAAACTGTTGCTTTAGTGGGCTACTGACATTTTGATCCCACAAAAATTGCAGGGAAAAGTTCTTGCAATGCACATATTTGAAAAGGAGGAATTTATGACTTAAACTGAAATCTAGTGCCTTAAATATATACTCTGTTGTTTAGGCTGTGCTGGTTTCAAAATTGGACTGGATGAGACCACAAATTCTTATAAGAACAACTTAATGCAGTCTTTCAGTCTAAATACTTGAAATTACGAAAGACAAGGCAATTTGCACTAAGTGGGTGAATCTACAGTGAGTTTCATAGTATTTCCATACCAGCAAATAACTGAATAAACAATAAGAGAAATGAAGCCTATTTTGTATGTACTGTCATTGTCCTCAGATGCTGGTTGTTTACAATGGAAGAGCAAGTATTTAAAATTATGCCTTGCTGGTATTTTTCAATTCCTATTACTAAGAACATGAGATATGCAGATTTTATTTTTTTTACAGCTTTTTGTATTTTTTGTTGTTTTACCTTTATGCATTTTGAACAGTTTTAACATGTCGCATACATTTTTTTAAATATCTTTTGTGGGATTTTCTTTGTACGAAGCACCCAATGGAGCATTTCCTGTGTGACCCACTAGCAGTAGTCAGTAAACTCTCATGTCAGTTCCCTTTAACTGTCCCATTCCAGTGCAGTATCTGTTTTGTTATGCTTGTTCTCTAACATAATTACTTCAGAATATCAGCCAGCAAGTCAAACATACTGGAACAGAAACTTGGTATTTTTATACCATATAGATGGACTTAAAATTGACCTAGCAGATGCATACGCACCATTACTATAAATTCCATGCATAAGAAGGAAATAACTGATATTCCATATTAGAGAAAAATACTTACTCTGCAGCAGCATTTCACGTCCCTCTGCCTTGGTCTCTCATGCTTGGAGTGTACATTGGAAAGCTTGTTTTAAGGCAGAAGTTAATGGTTCTTCATCTGTAAGAAACCTTAGTTCTCTTATGAGTATCTGTGTGGGAAGTTTCTGTTATGCAGTATAAAAGGTGGATAGTTTATGCACTGATTTTGTGTTCAGGTTTTCTGTAGCATCCTGTTCTTTTTTGAATTGGATTACTTCTACAGGCTTTAAAAAAGGAAATAGCTGTTTAAATACTATTTCCTTGAGATTACTTAAGTGATTAGAATATAATTTTTAGAAATGCAATTTGCTGGAGGTATTTTTGAAGATGTAAAAGGTGTCATGCAATTTCCTGCAGTGTTTTATATATTTGTAAAAAAATTATTACAATATTTTTTCTGCATAATACTACTTTCAAAGAAAGCTCTTTTTTTTGAGATTATACATTGGTTTATAGAACAAGAAGGGTCCCACCAATATATTCACTACTTGTTAAAGATCTCTTGAAAGCAGCACTTTGAGTCATTATCATATATTTTTAATACCAAACCCATGTATTGTGTATGTTGTACAAAATATTAAAAGGTGCCACTGGAGAAAAAAAAATAATATTATTTTCTGTTCTCCATTTTTGTATTATACAATAGCCATTAAATACTTTGCTAGTAGATCCAAAGCAAAAAAATTGCAGCAAGTCCTTAAATGCCTTTAATCTACAGAAAGTGTTTTTGCAGGGAAGCAACAGCAACTAGAAACCTGCTGCAGGGTGAGAACTTTCTTGAGAGAGGCAGACCAAGCTTATTTGTTGTTTCCAAGCTGCATGCTCTGCCCTAGGAGCGGTAAGAAAACACATCCTGGATTAGTGGAGTGTTGCCACATGGTTTGAATTAGTAAATAAGCAAAGTAATATTTGAACTATTCAAATGAAGGGTTTTCACAATTTATATCCATATTGGTATTATAGTGTCTTTTCTAGCTCTTAATCTTCTTGGTATCAGCTTGTAAGTTTAGCAGAAAATGTATGAACCAGACATTAGTGCACTGCTGCTGATGAGCCAGAGCTTTAGCATTGAAAATATTTCTCATTAAGGTTCCTTTTACCCTTTTCCCTGAATCAGGTACTTGCCTCACTCTGAAACATTGCAGAATCATAGAACCATAGGATACCAGGTTGGAAGGGACCTCCAGGATTATCTGGTCCAGCCTTCCTTGGCAAAAGCACATTCCAGACAAGATGGCCCAGCACTCTGGAATAATCTCCCCAGGGACGTGGTTGGACATGAAGCTTTTCCTGACAAAGGCTGGTTGTTCTCACTGTGAAACTGGCGTTCAACAGGGTTTCTACAATTGCAGTAGTTGACTTCTAAACATTCAAGTTTCTCTTACCACAGAATGTGACTCCTCCCCCCTCTTCTCCCCTGCCTGCTGGCACTCCGGCAGCCTTGTACTGCATTTCTGCACAGCTCTAACTCCAAACCTGGGGAGCAGGATGAGCAAAGAAGGGCAGACAAATACACAGCAGTGCTTTCTTGTCATCATAAATATCTTTATTGTGAAAAATACCATAAAATAATTCCCACAGTTCTAGAAAAAAACAGTTCTTGCTTTTTAGATTCATGATTTCATATAAAGACATTTTATAATTCGAAACATTTGATAAATCTCTGGCTAGCTTTACTTATCCTTCTTATAACATAAAACTGCTACTTAGAGATTTGCTGAGGGAAAAAAAATTATTCTGCCATTTATGTTATGATTTTATGGATAAAAGTGTGTATTACAGAGCAAACAAACAATACCTTACAATAAGGCACTTTTAAATACAACTAACCTGCTATGCTATCCTGGCTAGTTTCTGGCAAAGCTCCTATAAATCACAGCCCTAAACAGAAGAATAATTCTTGTTCCAAACATTGGTCTGAAAACTGAAATGATAACAAGCTTTATGTTTTTTTAAAAAAAGTTTAAGCTGACACATTTTCTGCATATGTCACAAGTTTGAGCACTTCAGTCTGTAGTTCACTTTGAATCTGTTTTAACACTGATCATCAGTACATCAGTATTAAACATGTACCAAGTATAATATGCCCCCCCACCTTCCTTTTAAAACAAGTTGGAAACAGGTTTATTAAAACTGAAAGAATTCAACAGAGGAAGTTTGCATCTACATACAGGCCAGTTATGGTAACGATGCTTCATGCACATCTCAGGGTTGACTAACTAGCAAGACATTTATTCCAATGTTCAGTTATTGAACATTATTGCACTACAGACACCCACTAATAAATAAAAATGCAAGTTCAGCTTCCTTGCACGTTGCCTGCACCATTAACACTCAGCGTGTTACCAGTGCTTCATTTTCCAAAGTCACATCAGGAAATGCATCACCGTATCTGGAGAGCCTTGCAATGTAAATGGTTTCTTTTTAACAAACTTCGTCTTTCTGCGTTTCCAGAAGTACCTCAAAGCCCTTAGGAATAGCACTGGGGTGGTAACACTTCTTGTAAACAGCTGCTGCTCAATACTAGTAAAGCTTTGTTCTCCACTGTCATTTTTTGCCTTTGTTTCCAAGAACCTTTCTTTCATGGAACAAATCTATGAACAGCATTCAGGTACTAATCATCTTCCTTCTTCTACTGACTACATTCAACCCTTTTTTTTTTTTCTTAGAATGTAATTTTCCCTTTCCCATTCATTCTCAAAATGCACATGGTTTTTTTTGGTTCCTGAATGCTCCCAGTGTACACTAGAACTGTCCTGCTGCCCCAGAGAAACAAACCCGTGCTGCTCCAACATCAGTGCCTTGTACGAAGAATTTACTGATGAGAGACCATCTTATTCCTTCCCTAGAAGAAAAAAAAAGTAAACCCCAGGAAACACTTCTCTCAGCTCTGGCTTGTAAAACAGAGAAGGGAGAGGGATGAGGGGAAAAAAAAAAAAAGGAACATGGGCAGTTCTTGGAAAGACATTTCATTCCCATCACTTCCCCAGCACACAAACACAGCTGTCTGTGGTCCTTGTTGTGACGTGCAGCCCAACCACACTCCTGTATGTACAAAATGTGACATATTGCTTACACTGCTCATTCAATAGTCATTTAAAAACAGCCCCTTCTGTAGTGAACGAGCCGATACAGAAGGGTTTGCACAGAGCAATGGCTCATGCACACACACACACACACACACACACACACACACACACACACACACACACACACACACAGAGCAACCACCAGGAACCACCCTGCCCACAACAGGCATGGCTGGGTTGAGCTCCCCCTCAGGGGCTGAGAGGAGCCACGGGGGGACACATGAGAGCCACCTGCCCGTCCTTTATGTACTCCAGCAACAAGCAGATGCACAGAGGCCAATTCCACAGGGTAACAGGTTATTCACTGTGCAGCAAGTTCCTGTGCCTGAGTCCCAGAGAGTCATGCCAGCCTAGAGTGCTCTGAACAGTGTCCTGAGCATCTGGTACAGAGCTTAAGCAAAAAACTTTCCAACAGGTCAAAGGCACAAGTTGAACTTCTAGGAAGTCATTCAACTTGGGAAACATCCGACACTGGGGTTTCACAGGCTGCTGGGGTGGTTTTGAACCAAAAACTCTTAGACCGCCACACTGCTACCCAGCTTGAAGATAAATTTCTGCTGAACGCGTGGCTTTGCAATTACGTTCATGAAGTGCTTGGGCAGGAGCCAAGGGCTATGCTCCAACAGCAACTTTGACTACAGTAAGATAAAATGCACTTTCAGGCCTTATTTGCCTATTTCATTTGTTTTACTGCGGCTGCTTATGGTTTCAAATGCCACAAGTTGAAGTGAGAGAAGATTCCTATCAACTGATTATTGTTTTCCAGTTAAAATGCAATCAACACTGATGAACCGTAATTCTTGCGTTCTAAGAAAATGGCTGCTGATGAAACTCATCAGCAACTATGACAGACTCAGTTACAGAACAGAGGACTCCTCACTCCTCCCAGCTACAGCCCTGGAAACACTGTACATCACACTCTCACAGTTCCATCAACCGCACCAAACCAATTTTAACTATGTGCATATAGAAAAAAATAAACTAGACTTCTGGCTAGTGGGAAGTTAGTCCCTCTTTTTGCACACATTTGTTTCTGCAGTACCGTGGCTGTTACACAAAACACAAAATTACTTCAATTTCCCCAAGTATTAATTCCCTGTTGCACCACCCAACAGAAATGAAGTTGTATTACAGGAGTCAATATCACATTCCTGGTCAGCAGTACACTCACCTCACAACCTGTCTTAGTTCTGAGTTTATGTACAGAACTAACAAATTGCTGCACAGTCAGGGATATGTCACAACAAATTTTCTGCTCAAATCTCAAGCAGGTATTTTGTTAAAGTGCAAACTACTCAAGAATCATACCCAAATAAACAACCCAAATGACATTCAGAAAAAAAAGTGTGGGTTTTTTTTTTTTAAGTTTCATAGTTGACAATTACCACCCAGGAAATCACCCCAATCCATTAATGAGCAAAGCGAGCAGACATTTTCAAATACAATTACTCCCAAGCACTCTTCTTCCAGAGTGATTGCTGGGACTGGTTCAGCACACAGGCTCTTCTCCCGCCTATGGTGCTGCCGACACCAACACAGCAGGTGGCCACCAGGGTTTCCTCTTAAGAGATGGATCGTTCTGCTGAGCATGACCAACAGTTTGTTAATGTGGAGACTACTGTATCTACCCTTGCCATGTTTATTAGGCCCCGATCCAGAAAAATATTTACATGCATTTTTATCTTTAAGCATATACTTGAGTCCTAAATTTAAGCGTTGTCCTAAGTAGCATCTTATTGTTTTTTCCATCCACGGGAATAAACATGTCCTGCATATCCACAACAAATACAAAGGCAGTGCAACTCCCCCCCCAACCAGTGTGAGCTTGTCAAGCAAACCCACTGAATACCAAAAGAAAGAAAGACCTTCCTTCTAGTGCAGTAAGACTCTGGGTTAAGGACAACATTAGAAATTAAGATTTTGGGTCTTGAACTGAGAGACTTTTTATTTTTCAATGAATTGAGTAAAAAACAGCAGCAGCCACCAGAAACAGTCTTGGCTCTAACTGAAGTGAAATTTGAATGTAAATGGTCCTCCTCCAGAACCAAAGGGGTTGAATCCTTGCCACGTGTTCCAGTTCCTGTGGAAAGGGTTGCTGCCACCCTGCTGACTCTCTGCATCCAGTGGGTCCTCTCCTGCATCAAACTTCCGTCTCATTTCTGGAGGAAAGAAAGCCAAGATGGAATTATGGCACAGTAATAACAGGGTTTCCCTGGAATACTTCAGGTGCTGTTATAATGTAAATGCAATTTGCAATAGCACTCGAGGCAGGAGACTCCCGTATCCTTGAAGTAAGCATATCCAGAGTTACTCGACCCTAGAAATCTCTGCAAGATGATATCCCAAAAAGAGATCTTTGAAATAATAATTTTTGACTTTTAACAAAAATCACTGAAACACTGAAATAAATAATTCCAGGTTTACATCTGACTTCATATGACATACTGGATGCAAGTATTAGTGCACTACTTTCTCAAGAGAGATAAGGGGAGAAAGGGAAAAAGAGGGAAGCTGTAATGCCTGTTATGACTTACACTTGCTGTGTTTTTAACTTACTGTAAAAAAGTAATTAAAAAATGAAGTCACTGCATCATTACCTGGGTCAGTGAGGACTTCTTTAGCAGCTGCTATATCAATAAATTTTTTCTCTGCTTTCTTCTTTTCTTCCTCACTCTGGAAGTTATCAGGATGCCACTGGGATGCCAGCTTTCTGTAAGCTTTTATGATTTCTTGCTTTCGAGCATTTCTGGATGGATAAAATTATAACTAACTTAATTCTCTAAATCACATGTCACACTAGTGAATCTACAGGTTAATTTTAAACACTGAGACAGTAATTAAGGGCATTAGGAAAATTATGAGTTAGTTAACCTTCTGCAAATGGCACTGAAGATTCTTTATGCAAAACGAAGCAGGTTTCAACTTCAAACAAAGATTACTCACTCTTTTACTTCACCACCCATTAACTTTCCTTGGAAATATGCTACTGCCAGATACTATGCAGAACAGAGTTCCCAGTCTGAAGAATTTGCAATCATAACAAAAAGCAAAAAAAGCAGAGATCAAATTAGTTCACGACTGGAAGGATGACCAATACTAGTTCAGAACTGGACATTTGTTTGCTCCTCATTAGAAAGGAAGTTGTTGGTTTCTCAAGGTTAATGGCAGAAGTATTTTTGATACCTTTCAGTTAGTCCTTCCAAACTCTTCCAATCTATCACACTATCTGCCACAATTTTATTTTTTGTCGCTTTCAGTAATTCTTGCCAGTCCTCATTTCTTTCCCAATTCATTCATCTACTAAGAATTTCCTACTGAATTATTTATTTTCCCTCTCACCAATGCTGTTTTTCCATTCCTTCTACAGGAATTGTAAATAGGTGCTACTTACAAGTTGAACACTACTAAATTAGTACAACAGAAAAGTGAAGGTAGCAAGATAAAGGAACAGCAGAACAAATTCAAGTGATCAGTCCCATCTGCGCTGGTTTAAACAACCAACTTTCACATCATCATCTCTGGAATTAATATCTCACCTTTTTACTCCCAGGATTTTATAGTAATCCCTCTTCTGTGATTGCTTCAGCATTCTCTGGGCACGTTCTAGCCCCTCCCGAATCTGCTGGTCATTCTCACTGTTGGCTTGAGCAGTCTCATAGTCTTTAATAGCTTTTATAAAAAAAGCAAATGAAAGAAGATTACACAACTCTACAAACTTCAATTTAAAAAACTCAACCACTCCACAAAATTGAAGCTTTGCTATTACCATATACAAACAGCAAAACTTTCATTTCAACTTGACATGTTTGAGTTTTTCTCCCTAAATTAGAAAACCTTGGAGTAGAGGAAATTCACTTTCACATATAAATTAGGTAATTTTCTTTCTTTAGGTTCAATTACACTGGTGGGAAATGAGGGAGAAGGGAGGTTACCAGACACCAGACTCCGGTCACAACACTCTTGATGTTGCAACAGGAATAACATAACAAGTATCTAGGCCTGGGAGGAGGAAAAAGAGACCAAGAAGTAAGATTCAGCAACTAGTATGTGAAGAGCCCACTGCACGATGTTAGTCCCACATTGCTGTTCAGCTGAAGGATGCACTACCCAGAGTCTTTAAGTTAATATTCATTCTTCTCCCCCAGTCTGCACTCTATCAACACGACAGAAAGTCTCTTCTCTTTAATGACAGTAAAGACAAATTTCAGACTACCAATAAGTTCATACTGTTAGTGAAAGGCAAATATTGGCTTTTTACACCTCTGCATACATAGTACGCAGACAGTTATATTTTAAGGGTTTTTTTTTCCAAAGGCATACTCTCACTCTATTTCAAGAGTTGCATTTCTCAGGAACGAAAGCAAGAGAGATGCTGTAATGTAATTTGTAAAACATTCAAGGTCTACACTATTTTTTTTAAGTAAACTCTATTATTATTGTAAGTGGTAACTGAATGCTTAAGACACAAAGTTTATATATTCTTTGATATCAAAATTTATCAAGGGAAGTAACTATCTAAGTCTTTAATGAGACTGCTCTTCTTTCGCTGTTATAATCCTCAAGGTCTCATTTGCAGATCCCAATCTCCTAGGTTTCTCAAGTTAGATAAAGTACTTGCATCAGATTATTTCCAAGCAGATGCTATTTCTCAGCAGGTGTTACATTTGTTTTTCACTGTTTCTGAGCAAGACAGCAGGAAGTGCTAATGAATTTGTACTACCCAGACATCTGATACTACTGTAATCTTGTCTTAGTTATTGGAAAAAAAAAATTCCAAAAGGTATTGCCAGTGCCCCAACAATTTCATAGGCTATTACAAGCCAAACAAAATTTCTATTCATTTTCTCATCACTGGACACTCATTTTCTGCTTGAACAAAGCATTTTGGCTTCTGCTGATATTTTTAATAATTTGTCCAGTCATTAAAAAACCAGAACAAAAACCCCAAGAGTGTGAACTAATGTGTGCGCCCAATATATGCTGTTGAAAGCAATAAAAATAATGAAAATGCAGGGATTTCATTATGCTGCTTTACTGCTCCAATAATTTTAAGCACCAGTGTACTTAATCTGCTTCATATGGTACTGTGGAAGGTCCCACCACAACGTCCTGCCAAATGCAGATCAGACTGCTCAGCTTCACTGAGCGCCACATCACCGACAGCACGCGCCACTGTGGGAAAACAATCTGCTCCAGGGATCAACTATTTGCCATGACAGTATTAAATTTCTCTTCTTTTTTTTAAATCGACTTCCTTATTTAAAGACTGCGAGCATTAAGCACATGGGAAGGTAGGTTTTTCAGTGCTGCACACTGCAGAGTGAAAGTGCCCAGCAAGTACATTTTACACTTTCACACTCCAGTGCAGGAATTTTCCTCTTTCAGAGAGCTAATTGCTCTTCTCACTTGAGCGGTGAGGGTTGGAAGCAGGTGGAGCAGGATGGCAGCTTCCTGATGACAAGAAGTTCGATATGAAACTAGCAGACTTATTACTAATTCACGGTATGTCAAGTGAGATATATTAATCAATTCTTTTGAGCCACTATTTCTAAAAGCACTAGTACCTCCAAACCAACAGAAGAGTCACTGCTGCTGCTTACTGGCCTGCTATTCCAGAAAGCATCCTTTCTTCTTTTCATCCTGTTCCGCGACATAAAAGGAACAACTAGTTTCCAGTGTCACTTTCAATTTAAATACTTCAGTCAAATCTAACTCTCCTTCTTTCAATACAAGACTCTTCACAACCTCTCAAAAGGTAATCACACCGTAACTCTAGACAACTTTGCTGGCTTTGGAATCTTGCCTGCATTTTTAAAAGAGATCGAGATCAATTCTGCATGTGCATTAATGGCCAAGTTATCAAACATGAGTAACTGCAGACAACCTACACCCATGCCAAGACTGTTAGAGAAATAAAAGAACCAGTTACACTCTTACTGAAACCTCTAAAGTAGTAGTGGGGGGGAAATAAAAAAATAAATTAAAAAATTAAAAATTAAAAAAAAAAAAAGAAAAAAATTAGTATATCTTGATCAATTTTGAAACAGCAAGGCAGCTTTTTTCCTTCAACAAAACTTGTGCTTTAGACAGATAGACTTCTGTACTTATGAGGTATGCCAGAAAGGGAGTCATTACACATCTGTTGCTGTAGACAAACCCTGGATCTCATGTGATTATAAAGTAATTAAAACCATTTGATTAACTCAGCTATACATACCAAAGTGCATCTTGAACATTTAGCAATAATCGCCTTCAAAGTTCTGAATTACAAGTACTTTGAAATTTCCTATCTTTAACATGAAAATAGCTGCCTCTAGCTTGAAAATTTTTTGAGGGAAGAATAAGAATCAGTATGCCCCTTTAAATATGAGATTACAATTTTAATTGCTCTACTGTTCTCTCTAGCAAAGAGGAATCAGTGATCATTTTACAGCAGTTAAAACTGAAGGATAAATGAAGACACCTTCAGGCAGACTAACGTTAATGGGCTGTAATACTGTTGATGGAGGCTCTGCTGGAAGGCAGAGCGGAACTACAACCACCTCACTACTGTCAAGGGCAGGAGGAAGGCATGGGACATGCTAAAGAACAGGGATCTGACAAAGCACAGTTCCACTCTAGCATGGTGGTTCACTTGGAATGAGGCTAGGCCAAGCTCAGCAGGCACCAGCTCTCCCAGATCCCAGGTATGTCCTCTCTCTGTTTCCTTATATCCTAAAATATGGAGGCATTTGCTACAGCACAAGACCAAACTGGCTCCCTGCATTTATGCAGAACCTATAAAACTTTTCTTTCCTCTAATTTGCAAGAGTTGAGTCAGCACCCCTGGAGGTTTTTAAAAGACATGTATATGTGGCACTAGGAAACATGGTGCAGTGGTGGACTTGGCAGTGCTGGGTTACTGGACTTGATAATCCTAGAAGTTGTTTCTATGACTCTGTGTAATAGTATGCATTTTACAAAAAGTCTGTATGGAAAATGCAGCCTCAGGAATAGAGTCAGTTTACTGCTTTCAGCAGCACTACAGAGATCTGCAGAGGTGAAGCAATGGCCATTAACTTCCTCTGCCCACAACACATGCCAGGGAATAGAACAGTATTATTTTCATGCTGCCATCTCAAGACGTTAAAATTGTGGTCCTAAAAAGGATTTACATCAACCGAACTATAATTACCTTTTACCTCTAAACACATTTGTCTGACATTGCTGATTATATAAAACATGTTTAAGTAGATTAAGCTGTACAGTCTCACAGAACATCCTGAACATGGTCCATTATTGTAAAGACAACTATGCCATAGATAATACAAGTGCATTCCACTTACACTAATCAAGACAAAATTACCACCAGATATTTTTGTAAATCTGCAACTACCAGTGCTAATTAAAGATGACAACATAGTGTAGAATCAAAGTGCATGTTAAAAAAAAAACCTTTAAAACACTGAGTGCATTTTAAACGTCCACAAAAAAGTATGTGTCAACTGCATACAACTGTACCTTCTTCATACAGGTCTTCCAGCAAATAAGCTTCTGCTCTGTCTTTCAGAGCATTCACGTTGGTTGGTTCCAGTTGCAGAACTTCTGTACAAAGTTTTATGGCTTCTGTAGACTGTTGATTCTAGAAGAAAGTAAAACAAAACTCACATAGTTGTGGGGGGTTTGTTTGCTGTTTGTTTGTCTTAAAGAAATTTACAGAGGGAGAATAATCAGAATTACCTTTGATAAGCAGTGACAGATTCTTTCTTTGGCACGAGTAGCATAAACTGGGACTTCTGGCTCAGTTTTCATTACAGATTCGTATTTACTGATAGCATCTTCATATCTGTTTAAATCATAAAGCAAAATATCATGAAATGTGATCACTATCTCAGGGTGTTGCAATTTATTTACAAATCTTGAAATTCACAGATTTTCACATCCTCCTAGCAATGTACCTTAACTTTAATAGCCTTAAAGATGAGGTGTAAGACAATAGTATGAAGAAAATTTGCAGCCATTTCAAGAATTACATCCCCATTCCCTTTTCTGTGCTATGAGACAGAAGAGCTGGCACCAGCCCTGGCAGGCTTTTGCAGAAGACAGTAACTACCATCCCTCACCACGCACAGACAACAGTCTCTAGATGTGCCTCCTGTCCAACAAGCCACTCTACACCTAAAAATAAGCATCTCCCTCTCCAATATCTGAGATGGACCAAGTCTGGAGTCTTACTGCAAGCACTGTACTACCTGCACACTACAAAAGGTACCACCTATTCCATAGCTACAAAAAAGCTCTTTATGCCAGCTTGAATTAGGCAGTTGTTTTCTCCTTTTCTTCTTCACAAGTCACACAGTAAAATGGTTTTTTGCTGCAAAGGTCTCAAAGATGCTAAAAGTTGCATGGTTTGAGCAAGAAATGGATTAGAACATTTACCTAAAAAGGCAAGAGAGCGATTGAACCCATGGGTTGCTATACAAGCTAGAGAAATTCAAGCTCTCAGAAGATTCCCTGAAACAGGACTGATACTGGATTAAGTGAAGAGAGTCCAAACAGACTGACAGCTTAATCAAATTGGCCTCAGTTGTGCTTATTCACGTTCCTGATGTATTTCATTTTAAAACACCACCTTGACAATGTCTAATGATTTGTGAGAGCTCCTTACAGTTGGATGTCATGCGCTTGAGAACATGAAAAACTGAAGTAAAGCAAGAAGTAGAAGAATACAGAAGCATGAAAAAAAAAAAAGCCCATCAGTCAGATCCATTTTTGCTATCAAGGCACTGCAGAGTTATTAGGGAGTTTTAGTCTAGAGATGTGGTCCTTTAATCACAGAATAGCTGAGATTGGAAGGGACTTCTGGAAGTCATCTGGTCCAACCCCACTGCTCACGCAGGGCCACCTACAGCAGGCTGCCCAGGATGTCCAAACAGCTTTTTAATAACTCCAAAACGGGGAGACTCTACAATCTCCCTGGGCAACCTGCACGACTGCAAATGAGGGGGTAGTAGAAAGCATTTCACTATGTTAAAAGGGAATTTCTTGTTTCAGTTTGCACCCATTGGCCTGATTCTGATACAGGGCATCACTGATCAGAGCCTGGCTCTGCCCTCTTTGCACCCTCCCTTCAGGTATTTTGATGAGATGACCCTGTAGCAGAAAAGGCTCAAACAGTCCCAGTCATCTCAGCCTTTCCTTGCAGTCCCTCCATCATTTTAGTGGGATTTTGTTGGACTTTCTCAGTAGTTTCATCTCTCTGGCACTCCAGGTGTGGCCCCATCAGTTCTGAGTAATAATATATGAGAGCTGAAAACTATTATCCCTATCTTGGTCTTACTACCTGCTGCAGAAAGAAGTTCAGTATGCAAAGAGAAGACAGTGGCATCGGAAGGAATCAGAACAGGATTGTCGCTATGCGAGTCAATATTTATTTTAATTGTAATTTGAGAGCTGTGCTCAGTTATCCACTTCAACTGACAGATGCAAAAAGCATCACTTAATCAGCTCCTCAATCAATAAGTTCGTGCCTCCATAGTAATTTTTTTTCCTTTTTTTTTTTTTTAAATATAGGAGTGAATACTTACCTGCCTTCTCTGATGAATTCCTCTGCTGACTCAATCTGCTTATTGAGTTTCTTTACTTGCTTATAGAGAGAGAAACACTGCTTATGATCTTGGTCCAGTTTCAGACACTCCCGGACTTCACTTTTCACAGGGAGGTAAAGAGAAGGTAAAAAAAAAATAAAATACGTCACCACATACTATGAAATTTTAACTAGAGACACAATGCAACATATACAAGCTGTCCACGACAACAGCTGACTTCTTTACACAATCTCTCTCCTCATCCAAAAAATTACTTTAAAGTGAAACATCAACGAAAAGTCTTCCAGAACATAGAGGGTTATTTGTCTGGTTTGGGTTTTAATTATTCTCTGTTGCCAAATATGCAAAAGATTAAGTGTTACATGTGATACATGGAATCCCAGCCAAGCCTGAGCCTGACTTTTCATTGTGAAGACTGCTCTTTAATAAGATTCTGATTAGGGCAGATACCTCTCCAAATTGTCAAATGTTTAAAAAAAAGTACAGTCATCACCGAACAACCACAGTGTTATTTTCAGAAAGAGATCACAAAATCTGATTTTGTTCCTAAGGACACACACAAAAAAATCTCAGTATTTGAAAATCACTAGGCCTGTAAAGGTAAGAAAAAGAAACCCAGAGAAGGCCAAGGACAAAAGTAAGCATCCAGCGAGTCCAAGAGCTACTGAACTCTTAGTATATCTTATGATGCAAAAAAAATAAAATAAAGGTATTAGATAAGAATGAAGGAACTCTTCATTATTATCCCTTCAATTCTGTTTCCATTACATTCTTCAACAGTGCTCTTAACTGTACTTTTAAAAATCAAAAATCTATTCTTGAAATCACTATGCAAAGTGATGTCCAGCTACCAAAACTCACCACAGAAGTGACCTATGAGCTCCCAAGACTAAGTATACTCTAGAAAGGGGATGTGTAATGCAAATCAATTGCCCAGCTATAAAATGAATTTTTGCCATTACAATCCATCACATGCAGTTTCCATCAATTAGCCAAGAAAAGAAAATCAGGCTTTTTCAGTTCTCTTCATCTCTTATTGAAGACATTCTGTGGCAGAAACCATACTGGAAGGAGTCTGGAGATGAAGGTAGCGCATCTGAGATTATGATTGCCACAGAAACCACTCCTGGGCAAACAGGAGGATTACACCATCTGTCCAGCCAGGCACAGAGTAAAAACCCAACAGTTCAGATTGGGCAAGGGCAGTTATCTGCCAGATTGACAAGGGACATATGGGAGTAAGACCTTAAACATAACTCAATATGAATAAAAGAGTAGGACATTATCAAAAAGTCATCCAAAATGCTGGACACTGTCTGCAGGAATGAAAGATCAACAGCTCAGGACCCCTGGCTCTTCATAGCTGGGTGCTCCTGGATTTTTTATTTATTCTTAAGTCTGTAACCTTAATGCATACATTTTGGTTTGCATTGTAAACTTCACTTGAATAGAGGTTCAAGGTTAAAAAAAAGGCTCCACCAAGGCAAGTTTAGAGTAGCACTTCCATCTAGGACGGAGAAATACAATGAAGACAGTACTTGCAAGCAACTCCGATGGACATGCACTCTGGCTTCTACTTTAGCAAAGAAGATGCCTGGAACCATCGATGGCTGGTCTGCCAAGCATAAACATGGTGTCTTCACTGCCTGTTCTTAGCTTCTAGAAAGGAGCTTCCTTTGTCAGATCCAGACCACAGCTGCTACTACATCCAAAACTCACACAATACAGATATTTCATGGTTTATCATGACCTATATAATTACATTTTCTGACAATTGTAATTATTACAGCGAACAGTAAAATTACCTGAGTGATAATTCATGGTCCCCCAGCTGATAATATATTCTGCTGATTTTGTAGAAGGCTTCAGTATTATCATTCTTTAATTTGGCAGCAGCTTTCAAGTCACTAATAGCTTTGCTTGGTTCCCCTTCCTTTATATAACACTCTGCTCGAAGTTCCCGTAGCTCTGCATCCCAAACACAAACCTTAAGAAATCAAAATTAAAGTTTGGTTTTGGTCCATAACACTTCACTTCTTTTCCTCCCCAAAACAAAAATCCCATTTAATTTCACTTTGCCAACTGCAATAGCATAAGGTTCAAGCTGCATGCAGAGATCAAGAAATTAGCATCTCTGCTTCCTGGTGGATGCTGTGATGCACCTGCCCAAATAGAAAACAAAGGCCTGCAAATTTTGTAAATGATTCAATGAGCTCATGCAGGGAGATGAATTAAATCTACTGGCACCACTTAAACTAGGACAGTCTGTTGAGCCTCCAGGAAAGGATATCGGAATCATAAATTATTATATCTTCCCAAAAGAAAAGAGGTAATGAACAGCAAGGACCAAGCTGTCAGTTGTCCTCTAGGAAGAAGCCCATGGGTAAGATGCAGATCCACAAAATTTGACCTTAGTGTTCGGATTTTAAAAATACAGAAAGGTAATAATGTAACAGTAGGGAAAAAATAATTACTCAAAAGGAACTGCCCACCAAAATTTGGTTTAGAGAACTAATTCTGTGTCTTATCAGTTGTTTGTAAACTATCATTTCAGGAGGAGGCTTTTCTGCTTTTCCCCATTCCCCACCCATAGACAAATTCCCACACTTTAGCAGTTTCTTCACCAAAAGCTCCAATGTTTGAAATTCCAAGTTAACAATGCTAATTTGTATGTGAAAAGTCATAGCAGTTAACTGTTTTTTAATGTATATTTCTATATGACACACAAAATGCCCACACCACTGAGTTATTTACACATACACTATCAGACTACTTATACTAATACATTCAACAAATAGAGATACCTAAGGAACAAAACTGAGCTAGCTATAAACATTTTTAACTTTGTGGGGGTTTTTTAGATCTTTTGTTACTTTATTTTCTCAAGACAAAAACTGTCAGAATATTGGCAATGAAAATCAAGATGAAAAAACCTACACCTCCTGTATTTGGCAAAACTTCATTGATTTCAGAACAAATTTTTTCCCAGCTTCCCCAAACACCAAACTGTGGGAAAACAGGAAAGTATAACCAATAAAGCTATCTATAACAGAAGTTTGGCTGAAGTTGCATCTTTAACCCAAACTACAAAACTATTATTTTGACTTTTTTTGCAGCTAGCGCTCAGCCTTCTCCACTCCCTAACTTCCTTATGGAGCCACAGTGCTCAGCAAAACTAAACCAGTTACACCAAGTGTTTTCACATCAGTGAAGAAGCTATTAAACAAAAACACACAGATGTCAGAGAGAAGCTCTTACTTTCCTTTCTCAGGACAATTTTACTTAACACTTACTGCCAAGATTTCATCAAGAAGAGAAATAGCAGCTTCATAATCCTCTTGCTGGTAAGCAGATAGTGCTTGTGAATGCAGGCGCTGCAGCTCATCAGATTTTGTCAGCTGAGTCTGGGCTTCTTTTTCCTCATTATTGCTAGGATTGGATTTGAGCTGCAAACGTTAACAAAGAGAGAGACTGAAACGCTTGTTCAAGGATCTCTTTGTCCCATTAACAGTCATATCATGGAGAACTGACTAAAGCTGCAAATAAAGCAAAATTAGTTTCAAAATTCCACTGGAAGTGTTCCTACCTCTAAACTTGAGAAAAAAGGAAGACATTCTGAGCTCCAATACAAGATGTCAGAAGTTAAAGAAATCCAGTTCCTCTCCCTCACCACGTTTGATCATTTACCACTGGACACACCACACGCAACAGTCGCTGCCCCTTCATCACCCACTGAAGTTGAGGACCTCTCGAATGTAGCCTAATTCACCTCTCTGCAGACAGTTATTAAACACTGGATTCCTCAGCGTCAGCAGACAGTATAATCACATGGCATAAACTGCATCTCTCACTTTAAGCACAAAACATATTTATAAATTCATGACAGAAACAAATGAAACATGTCTCAGATAATATTACTGTAAAGCTATGTTTCTTGACATTTTCCCCCCAAAGAGTGGCTACAACAGCAAGTTAAGAGGCTACAGCTGGGAGAAAGCCTCAGCTGGGATCAGCTGAGTGTTTATGCACCTTTCTTCTAGCTTTAAACAAGTCTAAAATTTTGTCTACAAGGACTCTCAATTCTCAAACCCCTCTCTCTGAGCAAGCAGAAGGGGTTATGTGGTATTTGTCTTCATTTGTTTAAACAGTTTTAAATTTTCAAAGAAAAAAAAAAACAATCTCACAGGCAACTTTGGTGTCACCCAGGAAGATAAATATGGGCCAGAAGGAATCTCAGCCATTCTTTTTGCAAAGCCAGGAAGTAATTTGTAGGATTAGTGTAGCTTGAACAAAGCACTGCTTCATACTTATTGCTGATCAGAACGACTTCCAAAGTTTTAAAAGGGACAGATCAGCATGACTTCATTTTTTTGTTGTTTGTTTTAAACTCAAAACTTGCACTATCTTGCATTCTATACACAGAATGTTGTCTAAAGTGACTGAGTCCTCAAAGACATCCACTACTTTTTTTCTTTCCTCATTTATCTCAAAGTGGCCTCTTCCCTTTTTTTCACCAGTAAGTTCTTGAAACACTCATATTTTGTGCTTATGTCTCTAATGTAATTCAACTTCAGCCCTCAGAAGTCCTTTAACATAACTTCCCCTGGTTCTAACATTTAAGTATATGAAAGGAAAGAGCCTAAATGCAACATCAAAAGCATGCACAGCTCACACACTTTGTCTTCAATTCTTCATTTTAAGTCTTTTTGAACCTTAGGTAGTTGATTTTTGCCAGGTAAAATGAAACAAGTTGTACTTAGACCCAAAAGTTCTCCTTTATTCCCTACACTGTCCTTCAGCAAGAGAAGATGAATTTGATCAAAGAGTTTTCTTCTTTGTAAGCTGATTCCTAATACAAGTCTCAAAGAGGCTTTTCTTCTGGTTAGAACTCTGCTTTTAAACCCTTGATGCTATGCATCCACTTTCACCCCAAAATCTAGAGGTTGTAGTAGAGGCAAATTTCTGCACCTGTAATTTTAAAAGTACCAAGTCTACAAAATTCTCTGAAGTTGTGAGCTCTTCAGTTCCAGCTGACTTGTTTGATTTCTCCCTCAATTTCTCAGCATTTTCTTCTTAAAAATTAAGAGCTTTTGCTATGGATGAGCTTTACACTTCCATTTAAACTTATCTCACAATACCATTGCACATCTTAGACACACAGTATGTTTCATGTAACTTATTTGGAGAAAAGGTCAGTGGAATATGAAAAGCAATGTTACAATCATGCAGACAAGTCCAATAGTAATAAAGACCATTTGAGTGAAACATCCTAGATAATTCTAGGTAGTACAAAATGTCCAGTTAACAAAGAAAGGAAAATTTTTCAGGCTATCATTCAAACTAAAGCCAACAAGCATTCGTGTCTTTCTGCACTATGATCACAGGACTGTCACATCACTACCAATAATGAATCACATTTCAATCTCCTTTTTCTGTGAAATAGTAAGTTTGGGGGTAACAAATCAGAACAACTGCTTGCACTAAGTGTGCTAGATGCCCAAGAAAGGAGCTAAGTATTGAGAAAACTCTTCAGATGAATTTAATACAGGTCTAAGGCAAACCTAACACTCCTCTGCATGCTTCACCAGCAGCCTGAAAGCACAAAGCCAGTGGCTGTGCTCTGCTCAGCTCTGCAGGACAAGCACACTGCTACCACTGAGCTGTTCTCAGCACAGTATCCTTTGCTCTCTTCGAGGTTTACTACATTTAGGTTACAACACTAAAGTAGCTGCAGTTTAACTTGCAGCAACAAGAACTAGCCGTGTGTTAACATCAGCTTTCCTTCACTCTACTCCCCCCCGCCAACCCTGTGCCTAATTCCTTTACAGAAAACAAAGAACACAGGAACGGCTTTGTTACTGTAAGTAATTGTCTATCACAGATTTACTGCTATATGTGCTGCTTTATTTTATAGCCTTACCTCAGTACAGGGGAGAAACAAACCCTAGCGTAAGCAAAACCCCACTTTCCCCCCTCCAAGTAAGCAAGACTGAAGGTAAGAAAATCATCATTCTCACTCAATTTATCAAGTTGAGTGTTAACAGCATTTGCATGTGTTTTTCTCTGTTACTCTCAGTGATGAAATTAGCTTCTTCCAGAATTTTCCCTCAAGTATTGACTCAAAACTTTGCAACATTACCTTGCTGCACCCAGGACAGTAGGAAAAGGTATTAGAAGTTCAGTTCATGAAACCCAGTATTTAATTTTTTTTTTTTTTGCAAGATCATTATCCTTTTGCAAGATCCTCTCTAAGGATCATTTCTACTCCAAGTAGACAGTCTTGCACTTGCAGTTAAATATCAAGATTTAAAAGTTTTCTGATGGGAAAAGCATTTTAACAAGCTAAACAATTCACGCTGGTTGGTTTTCAAGAAGCAACATAACACCCCCACCACACCAAACCTGTCATCCCTTATTGTATTTCCCAAGTCCATCAATGACCTTTCTAACCACACAGAGGTTGCACCAGCACACACAAGGCAACATAAAAATACAACGCAGCACTACTTCAGAAAAATGTTGTTAATAGAAGGACATTGACATAGCCAAACCAGTATATCAGCAGTGACAAAACACTGAAGCAAGACCAATGCTAAACTACCCAGGATCCATCTGCACTTTGTGTGTTGGATGCTGCTATCCTGAAGATGCCATATGCCTGTTTGAATTAATTAGCATATCACAATGTGTTGCACATACATATATCTTACCATTATGCTTTCTGGATCAGCAATATGCTTTTAATTTAACAAGGCTTTACAGCACTGTCTGTTAGCATGCTAAAAAAAGGATCCCCAAACACAGAACACTTAAACTGGAAATCACTTGGAACAAGTAACTGCTGCTTATGAAGTTTGCTAAGAACCCTTTGCTTCAGGATGTTTTTTTCAGAAGCATAGGGAAAAGTTACAAAACATGGCTAAGCAAATTCAGTGGTTTACCATAACCTCTCCTGCTTTCCAGCTACATAGTCCTACAACTTCCTTTGCAATGGCCCATTAACGATACAGGGAAAAGCTGGGGACTTTGTACAAGAACTCTAACGAAGAAGAGTTACAGCCACTTTGAGGGGAAAAAAACCAAAACCATAACCTCAAAAACCATACTCTCAAAGAGCACAGATTAAAGATATACAGGCAGTTCATCTTATAAACAGAAACTGTCAACTCAAAAAACTTCAACACTGTTGTTTGAAAAAAAAATTATTTTTACAACTCCCAAATGTTACAGACACTCTGTTCCTATACCTTGCTTACAGTGGTCCAGTGCCACTAACACAGACATATCTCTACACTTCTAAAGCTGTTTTATGTTCTTGCTTTTCAAACCTAAATACACAGACCATGAAATCAAATAATCTTGTGAAAAACATTGAGGGGAACTGAAGGAACCTCCATGGTTTGTATCTAAGATCAAGACATCACACACTCATAGTGCACAAAGGAAAGCCCTGCACTAATACCATATTAAGTAACACAGCTATAATGATAGACAGAAGGAAAAAAATGCAAGGATAACTTAAATACCTTTTATTCTTTAACCAGGAAGCTACAGATAATCACAGTACCACAGAGGGATATATTTGGGAACATCTAATGTTTCTCTAACCACTTTGACATGGTTAAGAGAGCTGCGAATACCCAACCCAAATTTGCCTAGCAACTTAAATCAGGTTACCTTACAGTGCCCTAGGATGGTCTCTCCCACCTACATCCAAAACAGTATTATTACACATACCAACCAACTATGGAAAACAATTGTCCAGTGTATTTTGCCAGAGTCAAGGGCTTCTCTAGACTAGAATGCAATTTGCAGATGTACCGAGCTCAGTCACTTGGTCTTGGCTGACATCTAGTGGAGCTGGAAGAAGTGCCTTCAGTTTCCAGCTCTGAAGTGACTGTTCTTCTAAGGCAGATAGAATTGCTTATTTAGGACACCTCAATATACAGTATTTATTGCAACAAACTGCAACTACGAATGTTACAGTCAGTCTTAACAAAGACTAGAATTTAAAAGAGATAGTCCTTTCCACACTTTCCAATAGACTAGACAGAAGTTCTATTCTACTTTTGTTCATTCTACAGAATTCAGCAACTCAAAGGTTTGTCATTTTCTCTAGAACACAAGCAGTCACAGACAACACATAGGGTTGCCAGGATTTGCATCGCTTTTGTCACCTTTCCAGAAGGCCTTCCATCAATCAAAGCACGCCAATATTCCTTTTATTTTCAGTAAAAATCACATTTTTACAGATAAACTAAACATTCCAGGGCTTTAATTGCTTGACATGACTGCTGATGTGCCCACAGATCTGTCCTATTGACTTCTATTACTCAGAAACTACTAACTGAACCAGAAAGAACTTGATATTAAACCATATGAACACTCAACAAAGTTACAGTAGAGAAACAAACACTATTCATACAGCATGAGCACAGCTTTCTAAAAATCACTGAAGGAGTTCTACTTAATCCTTTTTTCAAGTGTAAAATGTGGTCTGTGTAAAGAATTCCATCAGCTTGGTGCATTTGTTCGGCAAAAGGAGAGGTTTCTAGAAATGCAGTACTGCTTAATATGAGAAGGCATGTCTGAATCTCACCCTCTATCCAAACCTCATGATTAAACTCAGCCAACAGGAAGGACAGAGTAGGGGATAAAAAAGACAATCTAAAAATAACGCATGAAGGCTGGAGTCTCAAGCGGCTCTGCTCCCAAAAAGGAATACTGCATCTTTTCCAGTCAGGCATTCCCACTGCCTGCTCTCACACTGGCACTGCATCACAAGACAGCCAGTACTGACACAACATAGAGGGCAGGAGTATACAGAGAAACCACTCTGCTTAGCAATCATTTAAGTTTAAAGAAGTTTAGGGTGCTCACCATGAAACTTTTTCCATATACTATGAAACTTTATAGAAACCATTTGAGGATATGATTTTTTTTCTTTTCACTAGGATAGTTTTACTATTACACGTAAAGAATAGTTTTGATGATTTTTTTAAGCTCTACACAAAACCACTGGTCCTACAAGCTGAGAAAGTTTACCTGTCATCCTCCCCTCCATTTAGATGGGCTGAATGTTTCTTGCTTTTTCTCTCCCTCAAAAATAACTGCATCTCCTAAACTGCTGAGATCCCTTTTAAGGAGTGTAACTCAAAGAGAAGGGATAGGAATTAAAAAAAGCTTTTCAGTGTCTCCACTGGGATTCGAAAGATTTCTGGAATATGCTAGGAGAAAACAGCATTTTAAGGATGGTTCATTATATCAGTCACCTTGCAATTTTGGTAGGTACAGAAAGCAACACTGGGACACTTACTCTTAATGCAAGCATCCTACAGGGAACTACAAACCATATCACTCCTACACGTCTGTCCTTGAGTAGTCCAAGTAAAATTAGTCTTCTTAGATTCCACACTCTGACCCGGTTTCTCCAGTTCAAGAGTGGGGAATATTTTAAAATCTGATCTACTTTTCCCTTTAAGTCAACACCTGATCCAAACAATCTCTTGTGTGAAATCATGTAAGAGATAACAGATCCACTGTTATTCAAGGGTATACAATCTACTTCAAAGGTGGATGGCATTACCAGGAGAAAGCCCATCCCATCTACACAACTACTGCCTCAGGAAAGAAAAATTACAACTGAAGGTAAAAACTCTCACATTTAACACCTTGCAGTTCTTTTCTGTGAGCATATGACATTCTCAGGATCACCTATTCTGGGTGACATCCTGAAACTCTACACATTACAGAAAGTAGGTTGTTTTCCTTCAAATTAAGCCTTTCCTTTCAGTGAGGAGGATGGATAGAGTAAAAGATTGTTTCAGTTTTTAAATACAGCATTTCCACCCAATCTTTCCATGACACTCATCTTCTGCAAACTCAAACATATGACCAGGCTGCTGCATTCCTACTGAGTTACACTTGACTGCAGATTTAGACCCCATGCACTACTAATGTGGGATGGCCCAAGTACATCTCCAATTTACCTCCAGATTTGGACACCAAAGTTTGCTGATGAGCTACATGCTCACCCAGAATGAGAGCATTCTAATTAGCTGATAACCAGCCAACAAAGTGAGAGGCTAGAGGGCTGTTGAGATCCTGACCTACATTTACTCAGTTAAGAAGCAGAATCATACACTGCATGCTCTGTTCACATGTAAAACACACTATTTTAGGTGGCCAAGTCTACAACTAAACTCTAGCTTGAGATCCCACTGGCATTTTTTTGCATCATATCTTTTAGTAGCAGATGGAACTTTCATTTCAAGGTACAACTTACTCCTTTCAGCTTTTGACCACTGACTTAAAATAAGACCCCTATTGCTCTTGGTAGAAAAGAGAGGGTCTGGATTCAAGTCTTGAAATCATTTAGAAAGCTATTCAATACCTAACACCTTCTTCCTTCTCTCTTCCCCTCTCATTTACAAAAAACAAAACCCAAAGGACCACAGAATATTGATACACTTCACAGCATTGTGACTAATTTCCTCTCCTCTTGAGATTAAATGCAATTTCATATTTCTATGGAAACATACTGACAGTATACCACATATTTTAGAGATGCAGAGAACTGATAGAATAAGCAGTCTGACTATCTGAAAAATTTAGAAGAAAACAAGGGAAACCTTTCAAAGAAATAGGTATTCTTCTTAAAAGATTCAAGGTATGTAGTGTAATCTCATCTCCTCCTCATATGAATAAATTAAACTATTACAAATGATTACTTTAATATTGGCTCATTTTTCTTGAATATACTGTACTTAACTGAGAATTGTGCTCTTCAAAAGAGACCACTTGCCAGTTCTCTAAGTACACGGGCAATACTGTTCACAGAACAAAGGAAGCTGGAAGTAAGATTTAGAACCAATATGGTGTCTTCTTAAGCCAGCTTCTGAGAAGAAACTCTGTTCCACTTCAGATTTAAAGCCTGAGGACTGAAATTATTTGACTGACCAAAGGCAGCAATCTAAATTTTTGCAGCTAGTTTGGCAAAAGGGAAAGATACTTGGCAGTTGACTGAAGAAACAATTCCACACTCAGCATTAAGCAATATTTCACAGAACAGGAACTGCAAAGAGATACACACACACACACACAAATTCACAATTGCTACTGCGGCAACTGTGTCCTCAGTTACTCAGAGCTGAACGACACTCTCCCACATTTGCAATCAGCAGGGCTGCACTGCTATCAGACCACACACTCCTAAGAAACTCACAGGGGAAGCAGCAGCAGCCGGAGGAGCCATTGCTACATAAATTTCAGAATAAGCTACTGCAGCTCTGCTACAAACACAGACTGCCTCCTGCAAGAGCCACTCCTCCCAACTGTCCTGTAGAGTATATGGGATAACCACTCCGGTTTGTCATCCACGCTCACTAATAGGATTTCCATTAAACATCTGCAATCTGCAACACACAACTACTCTCTCCACCACACTCTTCAAGGAAAGTTAACATGATGGCACTAGTTACACCTGCAAATTCTATTTATTTTGGCATAAGAGACAGCTGTTCAAACTAGAAACTCTTGAAGAATAAGCAAGAATAAGAATGAATCTTATTTATACTCATATTTACATGAATTTTATGCAATAGAGAGGAAATCAAGCTTCACATTCTCTAAGGACCTTTCTTCTGGGGTTAGATCAGTTTACTTTTGCAGTGTAGGGCTAAAAAACATCCATCGAAACAATAAACAGCCCAAGTGAGTTTTAGGTGGATAATATCCAACTGTGTATATGAAAACTTTGGGCACTTCCTGATCATGGAGAGTAAGTATTGTCAACACATTCATGAAAGATGGAGAACTCATCTGCAGATTAGAAGCCAGACAGAAGCATGCCACTGAAATTCACTGATTTAACAGCTCAGTGACTAAATTAAAAGCCCACAATTCTTCTGCAATGAGTGAAAAGAGATAGGAACCTTTAAAGGTTGATCCATGTGATTTCCCTAGTGATTTCCCAGGGAGATGACAATATAGTGATGTAAACCGGAGTTCAATTACATACTTCAAGTCCCATATCACTTATTTCTTTATGAATGAAGATTGCTCCCTAGTACAGCTGTCATCAAGCAGAGATCACGAAGAGTCAAGTACACACAAAGATGACTTTTCAAAGTGCTACATTGTTTCAGGCAACACTCGATTTCATCCTCATCACTATACTGCAACTTTACTGGTCATTTATTCATACCAGGTAGCTTAGCTACCGCTTTAAAGAGCAGGAAAGACAAATCCAGGCATGCATACCATATATACCATAGAGCATCAGAGCTGAGATATGACCTTGGCTCAGAACCCAACCTCGAAAGCAGTGATGTAGTTCAACTTAGGTTTCCAGCTTACCACGTTTTTAAAGTCATCCTCTGCTTCATCAAATTTTCCTTGCTTAAGCAGTAAGTGTCCTCTCTGTAATCTTGCCTGAAATGAAACATCAGATAATTTCTTTTGATTTACAAACAGGAATTCAGCAAAGTATGAACACAAGTTTGAAAGTTGTGAAACTTCAGTTTCCTTCAGCAGGAAAAAAGAAGTTTGATTTTAGTACAGCTAACAAGCTGAAATAGAGATCACAACACCCATTCTTTGTCTTCTACGTTTAACAATATTCTTATAAGGCCTCTTTAATGGTAAAGTATTGTTCTGCACCAGAGCAATACTCTGGTTTTGAGGGACAAAAAGCAGTCACAGTTTTTATGAGCACCTGCAACCCACGGAAAGAACTCATTTGAAGAGTTGCACAAACAACAGTGAATGTTGACTTTACATCACTTTCCTGATTATAACTGCTTACAGATTAAGAAAATAGCATAAATAATAAACAATAAATAATTACCACATTTAATTCTTCCACTAAATTCAGAATAATAGAAACAATGTGAAAAGACAAGTTATTTATTTATAAGGCTTTGATTTATGATAGAATCTTTTCTTACAACAATGAATTTAACATTTGCTTCTTCATTGTAAACTATACAGGACATGCCACTGCCCATGGAAAAGGCAGATGATAGAATCAGATGGAGAGGACTCCAGCATCACTCTCCAAGTAGTGAGGCAGCCTCCATACACAGTATGCACAAGTGAGAAAGGGGTAAGGTAATCAGAACCTGCAACAATCCCATGGGAAGGCAGTGAGATTAGGACAGTTCCTGTGGAGAAGAGATCTCTCAAATCAAATGCTGATTAAGACAGAGAAAAAAGAGAAATATGTGTGCTCTCTTCTCCCTGCCCCAGATGGCACAGCCTTGGTGACAAAAAGAAGAATAACCACAAGTTAGAAAAGGGAAGAGTTTAGCAAAAATCCATGAAGAACATGTACTTAATAAAACTACTAGTTGTTCAAATAACTGGCTAGACTGTACTCAGCATAGCTGCAAATTAAAGCACATACATCACTATTATTTTATCCTACTTAAAGCTTTCAGAGTGTATTCTCTATTCCTGTTGAGCAAAATCTGACAAAAACCCCAACCTTCTTTGAAGCAGTTTTTTTTTTTACACTTGATTCATCTTCAATTCCAGTAATACTTACTGATGTGAAATCCTGCTTTAATTCAACCACTTTACTTAAATCACGAATTGCAGCTTTAGATTTGCCCATGGCTAAGTACACAGTGGCTCTTCTGTAATAAGCAATGTAGTTATCAGAGTCTCCTTCTGCAAATGAACAAACAATAATCAGAATACTATCTTAAAGCAACTGAAACCTCATGTACAGCGAAATTGTAATAACTAAAAATATATTAACTTACTTTTAAGCCACTGGAAACAAAGGTATTCATTAAGACACAGCATTTGTAACATTATCTAAGCAGTATTTTCTATGCAGTTTGATAATGTAACAATAAAGATTACAGAAACACAGTAAATGCCACATAACTGAGAGCACTGGAGGTTAAATATGTACATGTTTCTTTAGTTTTGCACAGAACAGCCACTACATACTAACCCTTCACCTCCAGCTGTAGGCCTACATGTGAAAGCATGTTAATTCATCATTTTCCAGCCCAGTCCTTGATCACCAAATAGGATGCAAGAAAATAATCCTAAAATGACGAGTACGTTAGTCCAATGCCATCACAGACACAAACTCTTTATATCATCCACTGAAATAGCAGCAACTTCTTTCTCGAATAATAAAATGGGCACCAACACCCCCTCTCATCAGCAGACAAATGCATGTGTTATCAAAGCCTAAAGGCTAACTGCAGGGCCCATACACTCTGTGTTGTCTTCTGGCCAAAATTCCAAGATCCAGCAATTTTAACTCTCTCTAGGGTAGCACATACACATATACCTGTACAGGAGGCAAACCTCAGTCTCTGAAACCAAGAACAATTTTCTTAACATTCTTCTGTATGCAAGTATTTCAAACAAACAGGTAACAGTTACTGTAGGCTCTCAAGGAAAAGTAACTTAAACCACCCAACCAACCATATGCAGTAAAAGACAGGAAACTTTTTACTGTACTATTAAAAACATAATAATCAATCCAGAATTTGTGGACAAGAACATCCATATGAAGCATTTTTCTTCCTCCCTTCATCTGAGGTTAAGTTGAATTTTCAAATAAATGAAAGAAATAGCATTGCCAAAAATCGTATGGTTAGCAACCGAGTTTCATAGCTGGCCATCTCCATTACCAAACCACTAGTTCAGTTCTCACTGGAAAAGATATCTGCACTCTTGCTCTACAATGTCTTGGCTGTGGAAATGCTAATCTCCAGGGTTCAAGTTTAATAACTCCCACACTGCATGCCACCTTGCCAGGATTATGGGCATCAAACAAATTCACATACATCTCTGTAGGCTACAACTACAAATCAACAATTGAAATTAAGGAACTTTATTAATACACAAAGATGAAAGATAGGAAAAAGCTAACAGAGAAAAGCACCAGATAGTCAGATAGTTTTGCCTCAGTACCCCAGAAACAGCAATGAACAGCAACTGACACCCAGAGAAAAGTTATAAGCCATCAATTTGATGGGATTAAAGAAAGAGTTGCAAATTCAACTGAAGAGAGATAATATGGACAGTAGCTTTCTTCTATTTTAGAAGTTTGCAAAAAACAAAAACAGGCTGGCTGAGGCAAGACAAAGAGATCTATTTACCTCACAGCCTGCAATCCCGTAGTACAGATAAAAAAGAATTCATGCCTCCTCTACAAGCACAGTTGGCAAATCATGCTTACAATCTTTTCAAAGAGGCAAAACACAAAGAAGTAGTAGTCTGATGAAAATTAGGCAATCAGGCTCAAATTAGCATCCAACTAAGAATCCCATCAAGGTCACAACTGAAGTGGTTACACCATAGTTCTACAAGCTGCTCAAGCACAGTTGGCAAAGCAGAGGGTTTCACCTGCAGGCACCTCACTGTTCATCCCACCTCATACCACTGCTGCCTCTGTACCACCACCAGCAACTGCACGGCCACAGCCTCAACTGGACTTCTCACCAAATCCAAGTTAAATCTTCCCAACCAATAGTAAAGGAGTAAGTAAACCACGCTGTAATGCAGATCTCACAGAAATCCTTTGGCAGCAACACACAAACAAAAGGAGTAATAGAATGCCTCTTGGTGGAATGGGGAGCTTCCACAACACAGAAAAAAAGGAAGTTGTCCCCTCCACTCCCTTATATAAAGGAAGTTGATCTTGGAGAACGCAAAGAAATTACTTCTGATATTTCATTTACATCTCACTACTGGACCAAGGCATAAATAGAAAAGTATCAACAGTATGACCCATCAATGTATAACATCTTAGCAACGTTCTTTTCATGGAGGAAACTATGCACTTGTACACATTATAACAAAGTCCAATAACTTTAAAAAAAACCACCATGCAATTAAGAAATTGTGGTGTTAATGGACTCAGCTCTTTACTGGTGCTGTCTCTGTGCTTCAATTAAAGGATTTTAATCAGCAAAGTTGTGTTAAAATTCTTAAAACCAAACATTTAACTCCTCAATTTGTTGAAAAGGCAGAACACCAAACAAGAACTAACTCAACTAGTTAAGTACAATGGAGGGACAATTTTGCTCTATACTAGACATTCAGTATCTCAAACTTGTAGCACCAGTTTCACTGAGGTATCACACACTTCAAGATTTAATTAAGAAAAAATAAAAAGGGAGAAAGACTATTCTAAACATCAATTTTTTTACAGCCTTGGATAGAAGTCAGCCTTTCAAAGACATACTTTGAAAAATGTCATAAATATAAAACCTCATCTTGATGGCATTAGATACACAGGGAATACCTCATTAAAAGATATCAGAATCAATTATAATTCCTTTCATACAGCTCACTTGCAGAACAGCAGTGACTTCGTGTTTATGTATGATGTAGTTAATTTTTCTTTTATCAAAACCAAATATTCTACTGCATCTCTGTTGGCTCCTGTCCAAACTGCTGCATAAGGGTGCCCCAATTTCTATGACTCATGGAATGCAATTTGTAAGAAAGCAGGATACTTAATGAAGCAAAAAAACCCACCCAAAGGTATTTCAGTGCAAGAGTCATTCCCTGAGATACATACCTATAGCTGCATGAAAGTGAGATAAAGCATCTGCTAGCTGTCCTGCAGCCAATAATTTCTTTCCCATTTCAAGTTGTTTTTCTACTTCTGCGTTTATTCCACACTCAGCTCCTTAAAGAAAAACAAAAAGATCAAGGTTTGGAATGACCAGTTTGATTATACCAAACAAATACAGTGATAAAACATCTAACAACATGTTATTGAAATAGAGGCAGAAGTCATATCTTCCTGTACTTTTGATTATCTGAGAGGTCTTTTCCAAACTAATTGATTGTGTGGTTCTGTAAAGCAACCTGCAGCCTAATAAGCTCATAGCATGTCCAAACAAGGATGTGTCAAACTAGATAAAACATCATAAAGCACCACATTGTGACAAGTCACCAAATATGCATTTCTACTCCTGTCTATATATTCAGTAATACACTTTTGCACATCAAGATTTTTACATCAACTACAAATACAGTTTGACCAACTGCATTTCTGTGTTGGCTTTCAACCTCAGAGGAACCTGGAAAAGTACTCATAACACACAGAGAACAAATATACAAAGGCTAAGTTAAATTTCATGACCGTGATGTTAAATCAGTACTTAACCGAGAACTGTTAGCTACTTAAGAGACCGGCTTCTCACCTATTGCACTTTTGTCTCATCTTCATAGCTCGCACTTCCAGAGCGAAGTTTTGACAAAAATAATTAAAAATTCTCACTCCTTTTTCATTTAACCAGTAGCACGAAAATCATACTAAGGTGGTAATTCTTTGAAGTGCCAGTTTCAGTTTAAACCTAATAAATTGCTGCTGCTCAATCAACAGCAAGAGACTACTGTTGAGAGGAAATGAGCAGCTGAGTGCAGGTCCATACTGTACATACATCAATTCAGCAACAGCTTTTTCATTGGTCCTGCTTCCAGCAGTCTTCAGATGAGGGCAGAATTTCACTACAAATTACCTACCAGTTTGTGACTATTAAAACTTTTACACTACGAGTAGTTTCCTTTTCCTAATGCCTAAATTTAAGCAAGGGAATACACTGGAATCCTGAATAAGCATATTACATTAAAAACCAGCGATTTATAATTTATTTCACTCAGGTTTTGTATTGAGCTAATTCAGATAGGCATTTGAATTAATTTTAAATATGAAAATGCAGTCACACTTGGAAGCTGTTTCTCACAGGTTGAATAAAAGCATTATACTACACTGATATCCAAATTTCTCACACTGAAAGGTAATTAAACAACAAAGTATTTGTAATGAAAAAACAGTAATTTCTGATCACCAAGTCATCAAGATTTTAGACCCAGAGTTCACAACACCTGGGATCTTAATTTAGTTTTCTTTCCCACTCCTTAATACAGTTTCATAATTCCTTTAATTCCATAAGAAAATCATGGAGCTGTCTATACTAAAGTGAATAAAATACCCCACATATCCACTAGACAAAGCTTTGTCTGCTAAGAGATTGATAATAATTCAGCAAACTGGACTCAAGGGCTTCAGATAAATTATTTGTTTTAGAACAATAACAGCAAACAAATTCCTTTTTTTAATTAATGGAAACTACTTTATGAAATAAGCCCCAAATTTCCAGTGAATACTTTTTTGTTTAAGTAGATGACATTAAAATAACAATTATTTGTCATATAGACAATTTGAGGATCTTATTAAATGACATATTTTAAAATAAATTCTAGGTATGTATAGCTCTGAATACAATACAAATAGCTCCACTGATAATGGACAGTAATTTTTTTTTCACACACAGTATCTATTTCCAGGAAGTTTTTATATAAACATCCAATTTTTAGAAGAAAAGGACATTCTTCCTTGCCCATTTTGCTGCTTCTCTAGGTTTGATCAGCAAGTAGTCCAGTGTCCTCTAAAATGATAAAAGCAAGCATTGGAGAAAAAAATCAACACAACAAAAAAACTCAAAACAGTTTCAAGCATCTGAAGGAGTGTCCTTGTTTCCCATTTAGTCACACCAGGATAGCTCCAAGAATATATTTTTCCACAATCAGCTGCACCTACACAATTTGGTGTCTTTCAAACACATTATGTTCAGTACAGTTAGACAGTTACATAATCCTTTAGGCAGGAGAGATGTCTTTTTCTGTGAGAATACCGAGGACAATTAATAAAAGAAATGGGATGGGTGACCACAGTGGCAAACAAGTAAACAATAAAAGCAGGAGCAACATAAATAAAGAAGGCAAATTGTGAAGGACTGTAGGTTCCCTGCAGAACAAGACTAATTATACTTGACATACATTAAACCTTGGCACTGCAAATAGCTGAACATCATAAACTGATGTGTGAATCTCCAGAAGCAACCTGTACCATCAGCCTAATCATGATGTGTGATATGTACTGTAACTACTCAGGAACACTGTACGCTGACCTGATAGTTGGGCTGCTTATTCACAGAAATCTATTGCTTATTCGTTGTCTGGCTGTAGGCAAACAACTGCTCTAACTAAACCAGCCCACAACAGACATCTGAAAACTGATAACATAAGCACAGGAGTCCAAGGACTCAGATTCTGTGCAACTATTTGGGTACCTATTCACTGTGTGGTCTAGGAATGAGCCTAAAAACTACAGTTCAGTCAGAGCAAAAAAACCAAACCCACCCCACAGAGCTTTTTCCAACAGATACACAGTCATTGGTGAGCTGGATACCAAGGGCCCAGCTGAAGAAGCTCTGTATGCTCCAGCAAGAAACTAAATTTACACAACAGATATGCAAGCATAATATTTATTTTTAAAACTTCCAAATATTTTAATTTGTATATGATTTCTAAAGCCTGACTAATTGTTATCTATTCACCAAGGGCCTCAGATGACCACACACAGGAGCCCCAGCTGTCAAATCAAGTCAGATATTCTGGATAAATTCAGGGTCTGTAGTCCTGGTACTGATGCAAGAGTGAAAGAGTCAAAAAAAAAAACCAAAAAACCACAAGCACCAAAACACCCAATCAAACACAACCCCCCAAACTATTCCCAGATAATTGGTACCAGCCCTGACAATTCATGGGACAACAGTTAGAAGGCACAGGGAACATAAGCAGGTGCAGGTAATCTGCTTTTCCAGATAAATGCACTCACTTCAAACAAATTGTAACTTCCTGGTAGGATTTCTGTTTTATTAGAATAATTGGTGCTAATATGTAGGTACCTAAGTATACAAACTTCAACCATATCCTCATATAATCGGTCACATCCGCAGTGTAAAAAACTCAAGGAAGCCCTAAAACCCGAGAAGAGTTTCAAGATGCTACATTTATCTACACACTCCTCTTTTCCCTCGTCCATAAAATTTCTGCCTTTTTTTTTAAATCTCGTTCCTAAGCTGAGTAACAAGACTATGAAAATAAATAGAATTAATTCCTACTCTGTAACAGAAAGAGTTGTTTCAAAGGCAAAGAAGAAGCGCATACGTCACTAATCTTAACTACACTCATCTAAAACTTTTTTTCTTACATAGAGGAGCTTAATGATTGTCTCATCTTGTCTTTTGCAAAGTTTTTTGATCAGAATGACCCTGTGTTTAGCACAACTGGTCTTAAGTTCGCTGTTATTTTTAAACAGGTTTAGGCTTTAATTTATGTATGTCTGCAAGCATAGCTTTCAAGCACAACACTGAACAAAGTAAGATATGGACAAGCAACCACAGTTTCAGAAGCAATACTTCTGAGGTTCACAGAGTCTCAGAGTATCCAGTTGAGCCACTGTAACTTCCATCCATAAAGTTTTTATTCCTTCTGTTTGCAAAGCAAGTCGGTAAATATAGCTGAGAGTGGCAAACAAAAAGCCCCGCCCCCAAGTAGCCTTTGCTATTTGGAGCGAGTTAAAAAAAAAAGCTCCCAAACTCAGGGCTGAAACACACAGTGGGGGAGGAAAAGAAACACTTGATGCTTGTGGTCCAACAGTAAGGAACTGAGCTCTATATACTCAGAGCCCATTTATTCTTCCCCATATTACGTTTCCTTTCGTCTACTGCCAGGAAGGAGAGGGCGAAAATGAACAACACTCCTCTGTCCTCCTTAGCAGCCTCTTTTTGTTGTGATTAGTGTGGACAAACAGCCTCAAAGAATGGATCTTCCCAAGAGAGGATCTGCTTCAAATCCAGCACAAGTCCGGGTATTTGAACAGGTGGAACTCAGGGAGTACAACAGCGACCAAGTATTCAAAAACACAATCGCAAGTACACAATCACCAAGTATTCAAAAACCTTTTTGGTGCATTTTCCAGCCAGATATAAATAGACATAATTGTAAGATACAAAGTTAATACAGAATGATTCTACCACAGATTCATGACTCAGATGACACAAGGCAGACTTCTATTATAAAGACATTAAGATACAAATTCAGATGTGAATATGAACTCATCTTTGAGATCGAAGATGAGTAATATTGGGGGGGGGGAATCTAGATACTTAAATAATGTAAGCCCCCCTCCCCTAAGTTCTCTAACTACACATTCTGGAAAAATGAACTCATGAACTAAGAGGGTAGTTTAGTAAATAAGATCCAGAATCACCACTTCTCATTCTGTTACTGAAGTCTACATCTTTATTAACTGAAGTTAAGAAAATGTCCCCCAAATTAGGCAATGTGACTTTATAAGTCCAAATAGCCATTAAATCACATACTTGAAATAGGCTGGCAACTCTAAACAAAAGAATCCTAGCAGGAGCACCACTGTCAAAATCTCAGGGGGAAAAGAAAAGTATACTTTGACAAAAGTTATTGCTTGTCTTCTAACACCACTAGAATGCATATTAAAAAAAAGGCAATTTGACACCACAGTATGTAGTCTTATAAGACAGAGTATCTGCCACAGTATGTTCCTGTTGCCACCCAGTCAGCTGAACTGTTCTTTAATTTGGTGTATCAACTGAATTTTTAATGTTAGCCTTCAGCCCACAGACTTATTCTGACTATTGACACCTTCACTTCCACTTCATCTGCCACTGGCAGTTAAAGAACGTCCCTCAGGTGAAACTCTGACAACAAACACTATTGTATAACCGAGTTAGAAATTTAACAGAAACCTGTGAAAAAATTCTGGCTACACAGGTGTTGCTGACAGTGTACTCTGAAAGTAAACAACCCGCACAAAGTGCAGATAAGCTGAACCTCAAATACTAATGGTGAGAGGGGGAAAAAAAAATAAAGGAACAACAGAAACCATAACAACAAAACACAATCAGGAACAAATGCAACACAACTGTCAGAAGCTTCAGCGAATCTGTATGTGTGGCACTAATACCGGCTGTGGCCGAGGAGGGCCACTGGAAAAACCTCTGAACTTGGGAACTACACGAAATCCATACCGGAGTGAGACATTCACGGACAGCACGGAACGGCCGATGCTGTCCCTCAGCTACACCCGAAGACACCACGGCATCCCGAGGACTCACAGTGGCTGTCGGTAGCCTCACCCCATCCATGAGCAATCCCGGGAAAGCGAAGCGAACACACACACCGAGCCACGTCAAGCCGCACCACCAGGAACTCCGATTAACCCCAGCAGCTCGCCGGCAGCGGTGCTGCCCTCATTACGCACCCTCCGCCACCGCGGACTGATGAGGTGGCAGCACTGTACCTCCCTCCTCACACCCTTTCTCTAAACACTTCCCCCGTCCCACGGCCGGAGGGGTGTGTGTGCCCCGCCGCCATGGCGGACACCGCACGGCCCGACTGACAGCCTGGCAGGAGGAGCGGAGGCAGGACGAGCAGCCCCCAGCTGGCACAGCCGCGGGCCGAGCCGCGGCCTGTCCCAGGCCCGGCGGGCCGCGGGCGGAGGGGCGGCACAGCCCCCGGAGCCACACGGCCCCCGGGCTAGGCCGGGCCGGGGCTCCCTCCGCTGCCCCCTCAGTGACTCCCGCCCGGTGCTCACCCTGGTACTGCAGGTCGAGGAGCACGAGCAGGAAGGGCAGCGCGGAGCCCAGCCGCCCGGCGGAGGCGCCGGGGGACACCATCTCTTCCCGCTCGGCTGCCGCCCGGTCCCGACAGTGGCGGCTCCGGGCCCGGCCCGACCGACCGCCGGCTGCGCCTCCAGCGGGGAGGGTCGTGGGCGACGCTGATTGGCCGCGCCGCGCGTGCCCGCCCCTGCCTTGGGCCCGCCGCCGGACGTGATGGAGCTGCGCGAGCGCGCCCGGCCCCGCCGCGCCGGCCCCGCCCGGGCGCCGTGCCCGGTGCAGAGATGGCGGTGCCCGCCGTAGAGATGGCGGCTTCGGCGCCGCCCACGGCGACGTGCCCTGAGCAGAGATGGTGGCGGCGCCGCCCCAGGCCGCCCGCAGAGAGAGACACCCGGTCACATTGTGCCTATCTGCCTCTGCATTTCATCTCCTGTCTCTTTGCCCACCCGCGCCCTGCCGACGCTGACATCTCGAGAGTCGGAACAGTTAACAATTTGCTCGGAGAGTTATGGTGAATGAGAACGGGATTACGAAACAATCTTTCCTTATCACAGAATTTCCTGAGTTGAAAGGGACTCACAAGGACTACAGAGTCCAACTTCTGCCCCACACAGGACCATCCCCAAGAATCACACCACGTGCCCGAGAGTATTGTCCGAATGCTTCGTGAACTCTGTCAGGCTTGGTGCTGGGACCACTTCCCTGGGGAGCCTGTTCCAGTGCCCAACCACCCTCTGAGTGAAGAATCTTTTCCTAATATCCAACCTAAACCCTCCCCTGACACAACTTCAGGCCATTCCCTTAGGTCCTGTCACTGGTCACTTCAGAGAAGAGATCAGTGCCTGCTCCTCCTCTTCCCCTCACAAGGAAGTTGTAACTGCAATGAGCTCTCCCCTCAATCTCCTCTAGGCTGAACAGGTCAAGTAACCTCAGCCACTCCTCATACAGCTTCTCCTCAAGGCCCTTCACCATCTTCGTTGCCCTCCTTTGGACACTCCCTAATAGCTTAATACCTTTCTTACATTGTGGTGCCCAAAACTGCACACAATATTCAAGGTGAGGCCGCACCAGTGCAGAGCAGAGTGGGACAAGCTGGCGATGCTTTGCCTGATGCAAAGGCACCTCCCTGGACCAGCTGGCGATGCTTTGCCTGATGCAAAGGCGCCACAGGTCCACGTGCTGGCGTCTTGAGTCCAGCAGTGGGAGATTGCAATCACCCGACTCAAGAAACTCAAAACATGAGAAAGATTGAGCATGTGGACTAATTAGCATGAGAACTGAGAGAATCATTTAACTAATAGAAAGTAGAATGCTAATTAATAAGAAAACTAATAAGAAAACTAGGTAACTTGTAGCCAATGAACTGTGATTTCTTTGTTTACTAAAACATATATACAGTGTAAAATTTTGAGAACTGGTGTGCTTGCTTTGTGGAAGACTTCCACCTTGCACCCTGCACAGAATAAACAATGTCTCCTTTCTAAACTAGTCTCTGTGTCTGTGTTTAGAGAGTCCCTAAACTGGCAACACTAACTCAGCCAGGCTTCTCTGGCACCAAGGAGGGTTTTATTCCAGGTCCATCCGAGTGTGCTCTGCAGATGCTGGCAGGCCTGCAGAAGGACATGGGCTACTTGCCCCTGGTCCTCCCACGAGTAGAATGGCTGCAGGCAGGTTAGTGAAACAAATTTAACACTGTCAGTATCAAGGGCCACCTTTTGGGGTATTATGGTTGCTGTCACTCTTCATTCTTCAAAGACAGTATGTCTGGACTACTCAAATTGTAGAAAAATTGGGCAGAGGCCAGAAGTAAATTCCTCCTGGTTCTTTTTTGCTGTGACTGACACAGCCATAGAGCAGAGAAAGGCAAGTGTGACCTCAAACTGAACTTGATTGCTCCTGGGATGCAATGCCATTTTCCACTGACAGCAAAGCCAAGATAGCCAGCATGGCCCTAGATGTAAACTGACCTCCAGGCATGCCAAAAAAGCAATAAGGAACTTACCAGACTCCAGAAAAACTGGTGTTAGACTTAACAGAGCACGATATTTTCATGCTGAAAGTTTTGGTTGGAATTGGGATTGCTCAGGCTGGAAAAGAGAAGGCCTCAAGGTGATTTACTTGCAAGCTTGCCATACCTGAAGGGAGCCTACAAGAAAGATGAAAAGGGACAAGGGCATTTAAGTGACAGGACAAGGGAGAGCGCCTTTAAACTAAAATACAATAGGTTTAGATTAGATATTAAGAAGAAACACTTTACTGTGAGGGTGGTGAGGCACTGGAACAGGTTTCCCAGAGAAGTTGTGGATGCCCCATCTCGGGAAGTGTTCAAGACCAATTGGATGGAACTTTGAGCAACCTGGTCTAGGAGGAGGTGTCCCTGCCCACAGCAGGGGGGTTGAACCTAGATAGTCTTTAAGTTCCCTTCCAACCCTAATCTTTCTATGACTCTGTGATTCTGCAAACTGAAAGCAAAGCCTGTGTAAGATAGCATGCAATCTAATGCATATTTTTGGAGATCTCTCATCCTTTTTCTTTTTCATAAGGAAAATACAGTATTCTTAGCTACCACAGAAAATCTAATCCTGTATGTGCCTAGTTGTTCATTGTTTCAAACTATATCAAATGGTTTCAAATTTTTTTTGGATAAACAATTCATATTAGGGACATATTCTATGTTATACCCCACAAACGTTAAAAGAGACCCCAAACCAACAACCATGTTCTCAGGGGAAATCTACCAAGAAAGTAAAAAACTTGAGGCTTGAATTCTGCTTTGGCAACCACAGAAATTTCTTCTTTCATTCTGCAGGTATGGTCACATTACCTTTCTCATCCTAGGTGATGTAATTTACAAGTTTTCCTTGAAAGATCAGACTGAAAAAAAAAGAAAAATACCCATCTTGAGCATTTCATTTGGAACAGGATGCTTCAAAGGTATCACCAACAAATTTTACCTTCAGAAGACATTCAGAAATAAGAACTTGAAATAACATAAGAAATTATAGATGTGAAATTAATAATTGATGACATTCTAAATATGCCAGTATGAGGAAGAACATGACAACTCTATAGCACTATGGATAAGACAAAATACGAGAGCCTAAAACAGAACTGAGCAGACAATCACTGTTACAGTAAATTAATTTCTTTGATTTACCTGAAGAAAAAGTTATTAGACCAAAGCCAGATAAAATGAGTATGAAAGGGGAATTTACACCTTCAACCCTGTAAGATAACTGAAAATAATACCAGGGATAATGATACACTTAATAGACCCCTAAAAACAAGATTAGGAGAAAACAAGCTTCAGAAAACTCAGTATTTCATACTGAAACACCAAGCATAAAGGTTTAAGTATCAAATTCCTTAAAGCAAGATGAAAGAAAGTAGTATGATTAAAGCATCAGGTATCATTTTTCCTAGATGCTTGACAACCTCCTGGTCCTTGGCATTGGCCCTGAAATACTGAGCCAAGGTCAGTATTTCAGGCTGACACAGTAATGTAAAGAACAGTGTGTAATGCCAACACTACAAAATAATCTGCTCAAAGAGAAAGCATTTATCTTTGTCACTCTGTTCTAGAACCAGGTGCACAGAATTACACAGTAATTCTTGAATGAGACCATAAGCCATGAAAGATATTATTTAGATATTATGTATAAACATGGGAGGAAAAGTTCTTTGACACATCAACCATCCCTTGTGCAATTTCAGAAACAGAGAAGGAGAAAGACTAGAAGGAACAAATGCCAACATTATGATCAGTGACAGGACCAGAGGGAATGGCATGAAGGTGTGTCAGGGGAGGTTTAGGCTGGATATTAGAAAAAGCTTCTTCACCCAGAGAGTGGTTGGGCACTGGAACAAGTTCCCCAGGGAAGTGGTCACAGGACCAAGCCTGACAGAGTTCAAGAAGAATTTGGACAATGCTCTCAGGCACATGGTGTGACTCTTGGAGTTGTCCTGTGCAAGGCTGGGAGTTGGACTTCAATGATTCTTGTGAGTCCCTTCCAACTCAGGATATTTTATGAATCTATGATTCTCTATTTTTGAATTCAAAAAATAGCGAAGCAATACAGCTGTAATGCAAAAAGTCTTTCAAAGGTATTCATAAAATTTAGACTGGTTTTAGAAAGAAGTTTTTTCATCAGTCTTCAGTTTTGAAGTGAAAGGGTGGATGACAAAGACTACACTAATGTTCAAAGTGCTCAAAAGACAGAAACCCAAGAATTTCCTCTGAGTTGCTGCTGATGATATATAGCAACATCAGAGGGCGGCAGTTAGCAAGGAATGACTCTTGAAGCTGCTCTGCTTCAAATAGAGACGGTGAACTGAATGAGGCGACGTATGGTGCAGATAGTTGGGTCTGTAGTTTCTATTTATTAACTGAGAAGCTTCAGATATAATAGTAAGGCATCTGGATTAGGTGTGACAACACACAGGGTCCCAGAAGGACCCTGGTATGCTTGGCAATACAATTTCATTAATAATCTCAATTCCAAAACCACGCAAACAAAAAGAAGATACAGGAAAAGAAGCAGTATAGCAGACTTCTGCATTGCATTCACAACCTAGTATGAAAACGAAGGAGGAGGCAAGAGAGAATGATAATACAGAGATACTATCCTCTATTCTCAGAACTTCTTCTTGTAACAGGTCATTCAGTCCTTACACCTTGTTTTTATTCTCACCTATGTACATCCCTGTCAGAAACGTAGCTGCAATGGAGCTAAATGAAATAGTAATGTACATCTGGTTAACATGGGATTCTTGTTTATGTAGCCATGTCTTTTGGGAATTTCACATTTGCATTGGTGTTCATAGAAGAGGACTTTGGGGAAATTCCTTTTTCTGGGTTCCTTTGCAATAAGTGGAAGCAGAAAGGCTCCTAAATTCAGCACAAGAACTTAATCTACATGCTCTGAACTTGCACTTGAAAAAGCTGATCTTTGTCCATGGGCTTGAAAGGGAGTGTGAAGTCATGCCTAGAGCAAGGGAGCAAAGTATTTCATTTATTATGAAAACACGTCCCTTTTAAAACATGTATCTTATTTTTTTAGGGTATAGAACATTTTTCAATTAAAATGTTACTCTGAAAGTCAAAAAGCTTTGCTTCAAACACTAGGTTATGTTATTTTTCTGAAACAAAGCATTT